CGGACATTCGGCGCCCATGGACGCCATCGCGTGCGTCCACACACCGTGAAACCACCCGTCCGTACGACACACCGCACACGATAAAAACCGCGACGACGCCCGGCGGTCGCCCCGCGCGCCCCGGATCGCGACGCGCGACGACCGACGCGCGACGTCGCGGGCGCGTCGAGGGCGACCGCGCGCGCGAAGACGTGCGCGTGCGCGCGCGTCGCGCGCGTGCGCCGCGAACGGGAGGGCTCGAGCGTCGACGGACGACGCGCGGTGGCCGCGGTGATGTTCAAGATGCGTAAGCGCGCGGCGATCGCGGGCGACGGGAGCGACGACGACGTCGTGATGCGGGCGCCGAGGACGTCGATACCGTCCGTGAAGGTGCGTGATGGAGATGGGGCGGGTGGGGAGGATTCGGACGAGGAGACGTACGAAGAGGAGAGCGGGAGCGGGGAGGATGAAGATTTCGAACCCGGACCGAGGCGGAGACGACGCGGACGCGGGCCGGCGACCTCGGGCGAGGACGGAGGGCGCGGTGTGGGCGTCGATGGGGACGTCGAAGCGATACCGGCGAGTGATTTCTCGTTGGATGACGATCGAGCGCGGTTCAAGGCGGGGACGCTGAAGCACGAGGTGTTCAAAATGTTGGAGGCGGCGTGGCCGAAGATGATGGACGCGAACGAGCTGTACGAGATGGGGAGCGCGGCCGGAGTGAACGTGGGGAAGAACAAAACGGTTCTAGCGAGTGGTTTGTCGCACGATAAGTGCTTCGTCCGAGTGCCGGGAACGAAGAACAAATGGGCGCTTCGAGCGCACGTGGGCTATCCAGCCGGTAAGAATGGCGGCGACGAAAAGTCGGGACCGCGAGAGAAGAGATCGAGGCCGTCCAAACCTCGTAGTGGATTGGCCGCCTTGCTCGACTCGATGGACTCCGATCAGAAGGCGTCCATTTTGGCGTGGAGCGACAAACTCAAGCAAAACGCGAGCGATTTGAAGAAGGCCAAGGGCTCGGGCGAGAAGGCGAAAAACGCGCTCGAGAAGGCCACCAAGGCGCTCGAGGAATTCGAAGCGAGTCCACCCTCGGAGATCTCGGCGGCTCACTTGAGCGCCAAATCGGCCGATGACATCTTGTGCGAGCCCGAAGCCCCGAGCGATCGCCTCCGTGCTGAGTTTAGCGAATACACCGGACCAAACGACCGCAAGTTTTTTGTAGCGTGGAAAAAATCCGTGGAGGAGGAGAAGGCTCGCATCAAATCAGCGCAGGATTCGTACGTGGCGATGCGTAAGAAGGAGATCCGTGAAGCATCGACAAAGATGAACAAAAAGCGCGAGCAGCTCGTGAGCGCTGTCACCAGGGCGCAGACACAGCTGAACTTGGCTCAGGGTACGATTGAGCGAGCCGAGTTCATCACGGAAATCACCCGAGAACGTATCGAACTTCTCAAGGAGAAGGCCGCCGCGGAGGATGAAGACACCAAGAATGCGGTCAACGAGAAAATTGCGGCGCTCGATACAAAGGTCACGGAACTCTACGGCCAAAAGATGGCAGCTCTTGAAAACCAAATTGAGCGGGAGAAGCTCAAGCTGATGGCAAAGGGCGACCGCGACGCCGAGCGAGCTCGCTTGACGGAAGAGAAGAGTCGTTTGAAAGAAGAAGAAAAGGCGGAACGCGCGAAGCAGCGTGAGATAGAGAAGGCTGAGAAGGAGAAGGCGAAGGCTGAGGAGAAGGCGGCCAAGGAAAGGGCAGCGCGCTATCCACTCGACGACGACATTTTAGCCATCGAGCTCGCTGAAGAAGCGAAGGAGGCGGGTGTACCGCTCGAAACTCTTCTGCGTCCGATTCCGAAAGCGATGCCGTTGCCAAATGGTCAAGTCATCGCGGAGGAAGCGTTCGTCGCCGAATTCATTAGCGTCTTCGGAGCCGGTCTTCAGGCACCGGAGGGATTGACGAACGTTGAAGCTATCAACGCCGTGCTCGAAAACAACCAAAAATCGAGATCTACGCTCGCAGAGCTTTACATGAGCATTCTCTACGAAGCTTTATCACCCGCAGCAAGTGGACCTGGACGTTTCATCGCTCGTTTGAATCGCATCGTCAACAATTTCAATTGGCCAGAGGTGACTCGTATGCTCATCCTGCATGGTGGTGAGAGCGCACACGGGAAACCCGCCGTCGAGGTCGCGCAGAAATTAGCTAATACAACGTGGGATAACCTCTCGAACGCGGATCATCTCGTTTTATTGCGTGCGTTGGCGGATTTAGCCCTCGAGGGTGATATTTGCCGGGACATAATTACGTCTCGCATGCAACAGGCTGACATCTTCAGAAGCGAGCGCCATGAGGCAAGGCTCAAGGCGGTCGCCAACAGGCGTATCGTCGAAAAGGCCGAGAAGGAAGAGCGACGCCGGGAGCGTGAACGTCTTGCGGAGGAAAAGCGCGCGGCAAAGGCCGCCGCAGAAGCTGCCAAGGCGGTGAGTGGAGAACAAGCGGACACCGTGATGGAAGATGTCTCTGAACCGAAGTCTGAGCATATTTTTGGACAGACAACGACTGGAGAGACCGATGAAGAGAGGTTACAACGAGAAACGATGGAAGAAGAGGCCAGAAGAAGACTCGAGATCGATGAGAAGCGCAGCAGAGATCGTGAACAAAAGCGCGCAGCGGAGGATGCGGCGTGCCAAGTTCGCGCAAGACCGCTCGGTATGGATCGTCATCTCACGACTTACTGGTGGAACTTTGGAGGCCGTAAAGATGGGATCTACGTGCAGTCTTTCGATGGTAATTGGGGCATATACAACTCGCAAGCGGCGGTTGATGCTTTGGTTAACGCGCTCAACACGAAGGGCACTCGCGAAAATGCCCTCAAGAAGCAACTCGAAAAGCGCAAGATTACCATCGCCGATTGCTTCAAGGCTATGAACGAGAGCCAGGAAGAACGTGATGCTAGATTTGCCGCTTCGCTTGAGGGCGGTGAACGGCGCTCGGTCAGATCGCGTTTCGCACCGTCGAGTGACGCGTACGTCGCGACGCGCCCTGCCGCGTACCTGTCGTGCGATGAAGGATCCGTTCTCACCGCGGCGAGAAAGTGCATGGACACCATGTGCATTAATGCTGAGCGCATCGGTCTTGAAACGGACGTTGACTGGAGAACATTCCGAAACAAGCTAAAGAACGCTCCTGAATCTTTCATTGCTGAGCAATTGCTCCTACTCGAAGAGAAGTACTTTGAGTGCCAAGTGAAAGAGTTTAGAATCGCTGCGGAGCGTGAGAAGATCGAAAGGGAGAAGCAGCCGCAAGCGCCGGATGAACTTTCAAAGGCAACGCTTGAGGCACTCGTGTTGAAACACACTGGCAAGGATATGAGCTCTTGGAAGCTCGCACGCCGCAAGCTCGCTGCTCTCTTGCCACCCGAGGTTGTTTCTGAAGCCGTCGAGGAACGACGCCGCCAACAAGTCGACAGCGACGACGAGGACGATGAAGAAGATGAAGATGGCGAAGTTGACGAAAGCTGGAACAACGACGAAAACGTTCCTGAAGACACCGGCGACATCACCATCTGGAAGGGGACGCTCCAGCGTCCAAACTTCATCGAGTACCTGAATCCGGAGAAACGATTCCCGGTCGTACGAATCGCGTACGCCGCGGCGACGCTTCTTGATGCGACGTGCGCTTTTTCAGAAGAAATCGCGCACCGGCGTGAACTACGCGCCAAAGAGACGAAGTAGGTTACATCTTGTGAGGTCTTGAAAATTCAATTGTTTTGTTTCCCACGCCTCGCCACCAGAATGAGTGCTAAAATTAGCTCCGTCCTCACAATGTCGCTTCCGGAGCTTCCGCTCTCGGCGGCGATAGGTTTTGCGGGATCCATCAAGAATGGTTTCCTTCTTCATCCCGATGGCCAGTCTCAAATCTACCCCCTCGGCGCCGCTGTCGTGATCTCCAAGCTCGCCCGCCGGGACGCAGAGGAGGCACCAGGAAAGGGACATGAAAAGTCACGCGCCACATTCTTGCACGGTCACTTAGGCTCGGTCACCGCCATCGCGGTTTCGACCTCAGGAAGACTGATTGCATCAGGTGAACGTGTCGCTGGGGGCGTCGCGGACATAATCGTATGGGAACTCCGAGATGCCGTGTCCTCGTGCACCTACGCCGTGTTGCGGCGTTTGTCTCTTCACGTCGGAGAGGTCACCTCCCTTGAGTTTAGCGCTGACGAGAGCGCTATCGTAAGCGTTGGTGGCGAACAGGATAATAGAATCATCATGTGGGACGTCTTGAGCGGGAATGCGCTCTGCGGATCTCCCGCGCCCGTGGACGGCAAGGTGAGAGCTGTCGCGTTCCTTCACCACTCTAACACTCGGTTCATTACCGCGGGTGAGATGACGACGAGTGTGTGGGAATACGACGCCACGAGTAAGAGATTACAGTTCGAGACCGTCAAGTTGGGCATTTTGAAGCGCGACATACTTTCGATCGCAATCGATGAAGACGATGCCTACGCGTATCTGGGAACGTCTAGCGCCGACATTCTTTGTGTGTCCATTCCAAATCGAGTCATCAAGGAATCTTTCACGCTTAAGAAGCACATATCGAGAGGTGTTTGCTCTTTGATAATCGTACGCGGTGGGCTTCTTGCGGGTGGTGGCGACGGGAGTTTGTCTCTAATGGCGCGAGAGAGAGGATCGTGCGTGCTCAAGTTTGTGGCGTGTCGAGCGCTCGGCGTGGGCGCTGTGATGAGCGTCGCTGTTTCGAGATCACCTCAGTCCGATGTCATGGGTCTTGAGTATCCCAAGACGTGTAAGACGGAATATTCGAAGCGCAAATACGTTCACGAAGCTCTCTTTGCGCTCGCGCACGGAAACGGGATGCCTGACGATTATCGAGATGCCTCGCAAACATTCAATGTGTACTGCGCCACCTCTAGCGGGGAGTTGCACCTCACAGAGTACTGCGCGCAGCATCCACTCACCGGTAAATGCATGTTGCTCCGTGGAAGCGTTTGTCAGCAGTCCTCACACGCGCACGGTATCATTGGGATTGCTTTTCCTCGAAACGACGATCAGTATTTTGCCACAGGAGGCGGTTCGGAAGTCATCGTGTGGGAAACCAGTGCAGCTAAGTCATCATTAAAGATTCAAGTGAGTCCGCGCTCGTTGAAATGTACATGCGTGAGCTTCATGCCGAATGGAGAGGTGATTCTCAGCGGTTGGGACGACGGTAAGATTCGAGCGCACGATCGAACTACGGGAGAATTACTCTTTGTCGCCTCGGGCGCGCACACTCGCGTGACAGCGCTGAGGGGTATGAAAGAATCATCCGGAATCATCAGTGGCGGTTCGGAGGGCAATGTTCGGTTGTGGAAAGTGTTGAATAATAATGTTATCACGCTTGAAGCGTCGATGAAGGAGCACAGATCGGCCGTCAACGACATCGCTCTGTTGAACGACGACAACAGTGCGGTTACGGCTTCCGACGACGGATCGTGTGTCGTGTGGGACCTCACTCGTTGCGTGCGCCAAGTTTCCTTTTTCGGCTCGACCTACTTCAAGGCTATTGGAGTGCACCCAGACGAGCAACAGATAGTCACAACGGGAACCGATCGAAAGATCACGTGGTGGGACCCGGCAGACGCTTCGGTGCTTCGGGTCATTGACGACCCTGCCGATGTTGAGCTCACCGCCCTTGCCGTGTTCCAACCCGACGGCGACCTGATTGCCGTCGCCGGATCCGATCGAATCATTAAGATCTTCGATTACGAAACCGGCGAGCTCACGCACGTGAGCGCCAGGCACGCCGCTCCCGTGAGCGCCGTTTCCGTCGCCCCCGGCGGGCGCTTCGTTGTCTCCGTCTCCGCTGACGGCGCCGTCCTCATCTGGTCCAACCCTGCGACCGCGTTCGTGGAGCTGAAACGAGAGAAAGAGCGCCACATCGCTCGCGTTTTGACCGGCGAGCTCGACGACGACGCTCTGGAGGCCGCTCGCGACGCCTCGCGCGGACACTCCGCAGAGTCTCCATGCTAAAAATACACTTCATAGTATACACCAAAATCCTGCAACTGTCACATTCTTACGCGTATATCACACATAATCTTAAGCACCCCTTAAACATGCGCAATCCAACACTTCACGCGTTATCCAAACGAAGCGTGCGCCTTGAGGTTTTAGGGCGCCCCGACGAGGCCCCCGCGTTCATTGTTCGACAACTCCGAGCATGAACGCGTTGTCCACGAGGTACGTCCGTCGTTAACGACGCTCGCATCGGATGTCTTTTGTGTTCGCTCCGCCCGCGTATCGCCAGGATCGAACCGTTGACGGAGTCGGGAACTCGCCGAGCTCGCACAGGCGCCGACAGCGTGACGGATGCCATCGAGCGCGGTCTTCGGGAGGGCTTCTCGCGTCGATAACGACGTTAAGGGGCGCTCGCGCGAGCGATGTGGACGGTATAATTATGTCTCGTCGATCGGTGACGTTTGCAGCGTCCGAACGTGTCGACTGACGACGCCGTGCGACGTTTTTCACGAAATCGCAGCGCCAACGCCTCGACCTTCGCCGCCAGAGCGCGTGCGAGCGACGGTGCGTGTGCCCGCGACGCGACGACGACGCGAGTCCGAAAGAAAGCGCGATGGCGCCGACGTGAATATTTTTATGCGCGTCTTGAACGTTTGCCAAGGACGTGTGACGAACGGACGACGACGTACGACGCGTTCGATGGCGGATTAGAAGGTTGATTCCTTTACAGAAGGATGTCACGAGTGGACGCGTAGAGGATTGTTTCAGAAGGACGAGAGACTGACAAGTGAGGGGTGTGGATTGATAATCGCAGGTAAGATCACGGTGAACGTTCGTCGAACGTCGGTCCGACGCGCGCCCTTGTGCGTGACGGCGGCGGCGAAGAACCTGTACTTCAACAAGAATGACGGCGTTGCGCTGAAGAAGATGCAAAAGGGCGTGGACAAGCTCGCGTCTGTCGTTGGCGTCACGCTCGGCCCGAAGGGTCGTAACGTCGTCCTCGAGTCCAAGTATGGCTCACCAAAGATTGTTAACGACGGTGTGACCGTGGCCAAGGAGGTCGAGCTCGAAGATCCTGTTGAGAACGTCGGCGCCAAGCTCGTGCGCCAAGCGTCTCAAAAGACTAACGACCAAGCCGGCGACGGCACAACCACGGCGACCGTTCTCTCCGCGGCCATGATCACGGAGGGCATGAAGATCGTCATGGCCGGTACCAACCCGGTCCAGCTCACGCGCGGTATGGAAAAGACCACGCAAAAGCTCGTCCAACACCTCAAGACGCTCTCCAAGGACGTGGCTGACGACGAGCTTGCCAAGGTCGCCTCCATCTCCGCCGGTGGCAACATGGAAATCGGTGAGATGATCGCTGCCGCCATGGCCAAGGTTGGCCGTAAGGGTGTCATCTCCCTCGAAGAAGCGCGCTCCGTCGACAACAACCTCATCGTTGTCGAAGGTATGCAGTTCGATCGTGGTTACATCTCCCCGTATTTCGTCACCGACCCGGAGCGCATGACGTGTGTGTACGATCAGTGCAAGCTTTTGATCGTCGACAAGAAGATCAGCACCGCCCGCGACATGATCGGCATCCTCGAAGCCGCGATCCAACAAGGCTTCCCGCTTATGATCATCGCCGAGGACATCGAACAAGAAGCTCTCGCGACGCTCGTCGTGAACAAGCTGCGCGGTTCGCTCAAGATCACCGCCATCAAGGCGCCGGGTTTCGGCGAGCGCAAGAGCCAGTACCTCGAAGACATCGCCATCCTTACCGGCGGTACCGTCGTCAAGGAAGAGCTTGGCTTGAGCCTCGACAAGTGTGGCGTTGAAGTGCTCGGCAGCGCCGCGCGCATCGAGCTCGGCAAGGAATCGTGCACCATCGTCGGATCTGGCGACACCGCCGCCGAGGTCAGTGCTCGTGTCAAGCAAATCAACCGCCTCTTGGAGTCCACGGAAGCGGATTACGAGAAAGAGAAGCTCCGTGAGCGTGCGGCTCGCCTCTCCGGGGGCGTTGCCATCGTTCAAGTCGGCGCCCAGACGGAGACAGAACTCAAGGAGAAGAAACTTCGTGTTGAGGATGCCCTCAATGCGACCAAGGCTGCCGTCGAAGAAGGCATTGTGATTGGTGGTGGCTGCACCTTCTTGAAGCTTGCGGCGGCGGTTGATGGCATCAAGGAAACTTTGGACAACGATGAGCAGAAGGTCGGCGCTGACATCATCAAGCGCGCCTTGTCCTATCCGATCCGCCTTGTCGCCCACAATGCCGGTGTGAATGGCTCTGTCACATGCGAGCGCGTCATGAGCTCTGCGGATCCAAACTTCGGCTTCAACGCGGCCACTGGCCAGTTCGAGGACCTCATGGAGTCTGGTGTTCTTGACCCGACGAAAGTCATCCGTTGTTCCCTCGAAAACGCGTGCTCCGTCGCGAAGATTTTCCTTACGTCCGACGTGGTGGTGTGCGAAATTCCGGAGGATGAAGACGCTGCCGCTGCTGCTGCGGCCGGCAGCGCGATGGACAACTCGGGCTACCCGCAATAGACACAGCCACAACGCGCACACATTTGAGTAGACAGAGCATACTTGCTAATAGAAGCTAATTAAATTTTTTCCTATTTCGCGACTTTTTTGAGTCGATCTACGAGCGTCTCAAATTCCGCGGCCAGAGGAGCCTCGACAGTAATAATTTTCCCATCGGTCTCAAACTCCACCTCGCACGCGTGGAGAAAGAATATCGTGCCAGGTTTACCGTGTGATAGGACTTCTGCGACACACGCGGGTGGCTTCGCGTTCAGAGTTTTCGCGCGTCCCTTTCTATACACTGTGTCTCCAACAAGCGGACATCCGATCATAGCCATGTGGCGTCGAATCTGGTGTTTACGTCCAGACTTTGGCTTGACTCGCACGAGAGCGTACGAGCAAGAAGCGGAATTGAACCGCTCTAAAACTTTATACTCGCTCGTTGCCGGTCGGTCATCTATGGGGGCGGTGACTGTCCCTCGCTCGTCAGTCGGAGCTCCGTCGACGAGAACGATGTACGTCTTGCTCACTCTTCGCTGATAAAAGTCTGTCACGAGTTTGGCGTGCGCGGCGTTGTGTCGCGCGAGTAAGATCACACCAGACGTTGGTTTATCGAGCCGACTCACGATCCCTCGCTTATCCGATCCATTCAAATCACTGAGCCCGGTATCGCCGAAGCGTGCGAGCGCCGCGTCCATCAAACTCGTCGCCGCTCCCCCCTCCGCTGGATGCGTGAGCACCCCCGCCGGCTTGAAAACCGCCGCGATCGAGCCGTCGTCATATAAAACTCGTAAATTAACCAAATCCGGGTGTTCCATCTTCACCCGTTTCTTCTTTCGACCCGGTCTCGTCCCTCGCTTTAGCTCGATAGACGCCTCGTCGAGCGCTCGAATCGACGCCTCTACCCGCCCGGCTCGTCGCATCGCCGACGCGAGCAATCCGAAAGTCACCACGTCCGGCGCTGCACCCGCCACGCGCATCCTCCGCACTGTTATCTCGCACCCATCCACGTCTCCTAACCGATGAAACGCGCTCGTCGTCGCGTTGGCCATCGAAGCCAAGTCTCCCCGCGCGTTGGCGCAGCGTCTCGCCTCCTCCCTATCCGCCGACCGCGCTTCCGTGGGACCGGCGCATTCGATGGCTAGGTCGCACAGGACATCAGCCGTGATGGCGGGCGCGCTCGTGAGCACGCGCGCGATGTAAGCGTCGAGCTCTTCGTCGAAATCTCGCGAGAGAGAGCTCAGAGCTTCCAGGTGCGAGCAAAAAGCGTCGACGGCGTCGTGCCCAGCGCCGTTTTCGGTCCTTGAAAGCGCTCGGAGTGTCGTTCGGAAGGGTTTCAACGCGCGAGTTTTCGCGCGATGGGATTGGTGGACGTGTGGCGAAGCGAGCGAGCGCATGAGGTGTAACCGTCAGCAGGAGCGCTCTGCGGACGCGGCTACTTGAGCGGCGCGAGAGATCGGTTGACGGGCTCTAGTACAGTGTTACAGCGTTTAGTCTATCGAGAAGTGCTTCTGCGACGGCGCCGATAAGTTCACGAGTCCATCGGATCCGCGTCGCGCGTGCGTCTTGTTGAAGAAGGAGCCGCGCTTGCCATGTTCCTCGTCGTAGTTATCGAGCTCCATTGCGGAGAAGCCCCTACCGCTCATTGCACCGTTCGATCGATTGGTGCCAGGCGATAACAGCGAGTAAGACGGTTCGTCGCTGAAGAAGGAGAAGAGCGAGGCCATCATGGATGCGAGCTGCAGAACGATGACCGTACCTCCGAGCGCCGCCGCCATTTTCATATGAGCGCGAGCAAAAGCGCCAGCCTCCACAGGCTCGACGCCGGCACCAACCACTTTATTCTGTATCGAATGCCAGTTATTCTTGATTAATTGAGCCGTCGAGTCGGCGTGCGTACCGACTACGGCGGAGAAGGCGATCAATAGGATGACGCCGACGAATGAAAAGCAAATGTGTACCGCCAAAAGGAACCTGTCGTCTCGGTAAAGGGCGTGAATGCCGACGAAGTTCACGAAGACGACGATAAACGCGATCACCGCGAGGAAACGCGGTGCCCATGTGCCGCCAATCTTGTGCTCGGCGCCGCTAATCATATCTGAGATGTACACGTTTCCCTTCTCAACCTTTCCATAATCTGCCACCTTTTGCGCCGCCCAGTCGGCAAAGGATTCTGTCAGATCATCACCAGAGATCCCAGCCAACGCGAGCTTGAATGTCAAGTTATAGTGCGTGCTATCCACGCGTATGTGACCTTCCTCGAACACCCAGACACTTTGGGCGCGCCAGTCCGACAGTGGAGGCGGAGACAAGGGCGGCGGCGGCGGAGACGAAGGCGACGGCGGAGGTGGAGACAAAGGCGATGGCGGCGGCGGAGACAAAGACGGCGGCGATGTTGAATTGGTCAGCAACCGACGTCGCCCACCACCCGCGTCGGTATCGACAGTCTGAAATATCAAATCCGGAGCCGTTCGTAGCGTGCGGAACAAGGTGGCCGCGTTCTCTGGTTCGTACACACCCGGGTCGTGCGTGAACCCAACGTCAAACTTCATAGAAACCGCATCTGGAACGTTATACGTTGACTTGGCGACGACGTAGCACAGAACGAAGAGCATCAATCCGAAGATCACGCCCGCCGTGCCCGTGGCGTATCCCACCCGCGTCCCGGTGTACTTCAATCCCATGATGTACGCGCTGCACGCCAGCGACGTCAAAACAAAAAACATCGAAGCCCCCATGCATGATGCCACCGTTCGCAGATACAATCTCGCCCGCGTTCGCGCCTCCGCAAGCTCCTTAAACCACTGCGCCCGCGTCATTCCGTGATCCGCCGCGAACGGCTTCCCAATCTTACGCAACCCGGTGATGTTGGCGTTCCTCTGAAACTTCATGTAATAATTCTCAATCATCCCTCCGCTCGAATCCTTATATATATTCATCACCGCGCACGCGAACACCAGACCGACCAGGACGAAGAGCGCGAACGCGTGATACACCAACAGGTGCGTCTTGTCCCGTCGCCACAGCGCGAAAAACCCGTGCGCGGCTAAAAACATCACCACCACCCCCATCACGGACGCGCTATCGCTCGGATTCTCGAACAACGCCGTGCCGTTCATGTTCAGCGCGTCCCGGATCGATCGATCGCTGCCCGTTTGGCCGTACCAGCACAGGATGATCCCGAGGATCACCAGCGCGAACTGCGAGAGGAACAGCGCCCCTAACGCGGCGACGGAGAGGTGCGACACCGGCGGCGGGCGCTCGCCCTCGTCCCGATCGACGCGAAAGACGTTCGCGCGCGCGCGCGGTCCGGGCGACGCCATGGTGCGTCGCGCGCGCCGCAATCTGTGGACGCCGCGTCGATGGATCATCGGCACGCGCACCGACGCGTTTAGTGTTGACGCACCGCGACGCGCCATCGCGCGACGCTCGGACGAACGCGCGGGCGCGATCGACGGAGGAACGCGTCGGGGTCGATCGACGCCCGCGCGAGCGAGGACGCGACCGCGCGCGGCGAGAGAAAACGGTGTCGACGGTGCCGACGGTGACATCGCGGGGCCACCATGGGACTGTCGTACACGACGCAGAAGAGCGTGGTGATCCGATCGTGGCGGCTCGGGGCGCTGTATTACGGTCTCGTCGCGGTTGTCTTGGCGTACGTCGGATTCTTTTTGGTGTACGTCGAGCGCGGGTATCAACGCACGTCGCGGGCGGTTGGGAACATTGGGCTCAAGGTGAAGGGACAGGCGACGCTGCGAGACGCGACGACGGGCGCGACGTTGGTTTACGACGCGAATGATTTAGTGATGTATGAACCGAGCGGGTTCTTCATCGCCACCGCGCTGGCGACGACGCTGCAGGCGCGAGGACGGTGTCCGGGGATGGATGAGGACGAGACGTGCGAGGACGCGAGCGCGTGCGTCGTGGGAACGTTCTCGCCGAGCGGGCGCATGACGGGACAGTGCGTCGCGACGGCGTTAAAGGATGAAGATGGAAAGGTCGTGAAGCGATGTGAGGTGGAAGGTTGGTGTCCGGGAGAGCCGGAGAAGGATGAAGTGACCGTCCTCGAAAACGTTGGGAATTTCACGGTGTTCACACGCATCTCCGTAGAGTTCCCAGGAATACCCGACGAGGATGGCGAGGGTAACATGCTCTGGACCAATCTTAACGGGACCAAGCCAACGTTAGGATGGAACTTGTGGACGATCAACGATTTACTCGAGAGTGGAGGAATGTCGGTGAAGGAAGTAGCCCGCAAAGGATGGGACGGGCGCGTTGACGTCGAGTTTGATTGCAACTTGGACCGAGGCATCGATGCGTGCGCTCCGAAGACGCCGTACACGCTGAAACAGGTCATGCATCCTAATACTTTGTCGGAGGGATTCAATATTCGATGGATAAGCGGTCAAAACGTGGGTGAACCGAGCGCGCAGGCTGGTGTCGTGTACTCGAATGAAACCGCAAACGGCCCGGGCAAGGACGTTCGGCTCCTCGTGAAAGGTTACGGACCTAGAATCCGATTTGAAGTGACGGGTGTTGGTCGAAAATTTGATTGGCTCACGTTATCTACGACCGTAGGTGCCGGCGTCGCGTTCCTAGGCATCGCGTCACTCGTCGTCAATGCTGTCATGATGTACTGCTCTGGACCGAAATCCAAGCAATACGAGAGCTGGCTCTTTGCCGAGTTCCACGACACCCCGTACGGATCCACGGAGGAGGCGACTTGATCGATAAAGAACTAAGATTAACTGTAATTTTGCAAACCTTTCTGAATATTTACCTATGCTTCGACGCCTCCTGGGATTTTCACCTTTGCGTCGTCGCGCGCGATGGCTTCGTCGATGGCCTTGTTCTTGATCACGAGCCCGTTGCAGGGACGTGGATCGTAGTCTTTCGCGAGCCAAGGACCGGAGGGTACGAACTCATCACCCTCTAGCGTCATCTCTCGCACGCATCGAAACTTGATTTGCGCCCCGTTCTCATCCAGGACGCTTCGATAGAGCCCCCAGGCATGGAACTCGTGCGCGATGATGACACCCTCATCGTTCTTGACAGCCGCAATGCCGCTCTGTCCGTCGGTGCTTGGTAGGATGACGTGACAGCACTTCGATCCTGGCACCATCTTTTCCGCCATCGCCCCTGGAGCGCCCGTGTTCGCCAATTCCATCGCCGTGACGTAGCACTCCTCGATCTCGTCGCTCGGCCAATCGGGGGCCCACTCCTGCGCGCGACGCTCCGGCTTGCGTCCGGTGCAATGCTCCGGACGGAGGCTGAGCGAGAAAGTCACAGTCATACCCGGTGCGTCCTCGGCGGTCTCGTACTCGCCCTCGACTGCGACGAGGAACTGCTTGAATTCGTCGCTCTCTCCGACGTCGCCGTGTATCATCTCCATTTCTGAGCCGGCGACAACGACGCCGAGCGGGGCGCATCGGAACGTCACGACGTGCGTGCCTGGGCCCATCTTCTCGCAAGCCTCCGCCCATCGACACATCAGCGCGTGCCCGTATGACTTCGAATATGGATCTAAAATGGCGCCATCGATGGAATACGACGACTCAGCCATTAACGGAAGGTGCACGAAGTGATTTCCGTTTGAAAACTGCGAGCCGAAAAGCGTGCACCACGGCTTGCTATGACACGCGCGAGGCTCTGTCCCCAGAAGTCTTCGTGCGGCATCGCGCTCGTGCGTCGTCGTCAATCCCGCTTCGTCCAAGCCGAATTCTATGGATCGCGCTCGATCGGACTCCGGTTCCCCCCCGCACGCGTGCGCGTCTTCGTACGAGACGCCGTCGACGGTGAGAAAAACATCAACCGCAAACACACGCGCGCGCGCCGTGGCCTCACCGTCCCCGAACTCCCCGATCGGCGCCTCCAGCGCGTCGTGGGCACACATCATCAAGGATAAGTCACCACGCTCCGGATCCACGTTCGCGCCCTCCAGATCCGTCGTCAGCGCCGACACCACCGTCTCCTCCTCCATCCAGTACCGCCACGCGCTCGACCCGCTTCGCGTGTTCCACCGCTCGCGCACTCGAATCGACGCCGAGCGCGCGCGCGATCCCACCCACTCCACGTACGCCTCTCTGCTCGCCATCTCGTTCGACGTCTCATCTCGCATCGCTCTCGCGACTCGAAACCTCCGCGCGTCCGCGACGTCCGCCTCCGTCGCCGCGCGCGCCGAATCACCCCGCATCGCCCCATCCCCCGCGGACGCCCTCGGCGACCTCGGCGCGGGCGTCGGCACGTCCGACGCATCCAACGTCCGCGTCTCGCGCGTCTCTACGCCGCCATCGCTCGCCGTCTTCGACGAACACGAACCCATCTTTCTCGCCCGTGCGTCTCGGCCCTTTCTCGTCCGTGCGCCTTCTTCTCTGTGCGCCGTCGACGCCGCGCGCGTGGATTGTCAACGTCAACGCGCGACGGTGGTCTCGCGCGACGGCTCGATCGCGCGCGCGCGCGTGCGACGCCGTCTCGCGCGCGACGCGCGTGGGATTCAAACGCATCGCGTGTGTACCCCTAAACCCTATACCCTAGATCCTCGATCCGTGATAACGAAACCCCGTACGTCGCCGTACACGCGTGGCGCCAGCGCAAGCGTCGCATCGCGCGCGCGCATTCGCATCGCGCGACGCGTCGCATCGCCGCGCGCGTCCGTCCTCGGCCTCGACCTCGGCGTCGGTGATGCGCGCGCTCGAGCGCGTCGCGCGACGCCACGGCGCGCGCGAGCGCGCGAGAGGGCGTCGAACGCATCGCGATGATGGATCGGGCGCGCGCGGGCGAGGACGGCTCGTCGCGCGATCGTCCGCGCGGGAGACGCGGCGTGGACGACGGTCTGGATGGACGCGTGGGGGGTGGACGGGGCGCGAGGGCGCGGATGGGACGGGGACGGGGGCGGGCGAGGAGCGAGGGGAGGAATCCGCGTCGAGCGCGTCGACGTCGGAGATTGGGCACGGGAAAGAGGACGCGTTCGCGTTGCTCGGGACGCCGGGACGGTGCGTGGTGACGTTTCGAGTGCGCAAACGTACGCGTTTGGGACAGAGAGTGGTCGTCGTCGGATCGACGCCGGAGCTGGGGAGTTGGGACGTCTTCGGGAGCGGGATACGGTGCTCGCCAGAGGGAGACGATTGGTGGAGCGCCACGGTGTGCGTGGACGTGCCGGTTTCGAGGGTCATCGGAGAGGACGTGTTCGTGGCGGAGTATAATTACGCCGTGATCGACGAGTTGGAGGAGACTGGACCGACGCACGCGTGGAGGCTGCGGACGAGCGAGCTGACGCTTCCATCGTACGCGTTCATGGTGGACGTCATGGACGTGTGGACAGAGCGACCGGAAGAAGTTTCGGCGCTCATGGGATCGACGCGTTTGAACGAGCCCGCGATCAAGCAGGTGACGCAGTATTACACGGGCGGGGCGAGTAAATCTCTCGCGGCGCGAGACGAACGGAACGTCAAGATGGAGATTTGGTTCCCGAGCGATGACTGCGCCATTTTAGTGGAGGACGGTGAGGTGGTCGAGGTGCTGGAGAGCGCGAACGAAGCGCATGATGACAAGGGCGCGCGCGTGGGCGACGTTTATCTCGCCACGGTTGTCGGAAAGGTGCCGAACATGCGCTCGGTTCTCGTCGGCGTGGAGATGAAGGGCGATCGTTTCACCAAAACCGCGCTCCTACGCGACGGGTTATCCGCGCCTGCGGCGTGGTGGAAAGGCGTCGAGAGCGACAGAGTTGGCATCGACGCTTCGTATTTCGAGGCGCAGTACGAAGAGGAAGAGGAAGAGGACGCAAATCTCGGTCCGAACTACAAGCTCAGCAACCAAAGCTCGCAGAACGCGAGCGAGCAACTCGTGCGCGCGGGGAAGTACGCATTCGGCTTGTACGACATCGGCGACTCGGTGATCGTGGAAATTACAAGAGACTCTAGAGAAAACAAGGGCGCGATCGCGAGCGCAGAACCGAGTCTCACAGGACGTTTCACCGTATTCGAGGGCACGGCGACGGGCACGAGCGCTCGCGCTAGTAAAAAGTTGAGCGTGGTCAGTCGAGATTTTCTCGCGCAGTGGGGCACCAAGGCGTTAGAGAAGGTTTGGGGAAATCGCGCGCAGAAACTGAATGAGCGGTTTCCTGACATGCGAGGCGGTGGCGCTCATCTCATCATGCGCTCCGCGAGCGTCGGTGCCTCGTCTGAGGTCTTGACAAGAGAGGTTCGCCACCTCGCGAGCACGTGGACCTCAGTGCTTGTCAGAGCGGCGAAGTCGGTCGAAAAGGCGCGAGAGCGCCGATATCCACTTCGACCTCGGCTTCTTTGGCGAGATGATATAACCTTCAAGGATGCAATCCTTCGAGAGCTTTGCTCGCTGAACATATCCAGCGTTGTGTTACCAAACGACGCCGCGCCGGAAACTGTCAAAGAGTTGGCGCACAGTGTCTCAATTCTTAGAGCAGACACCGCTGATTTGAACACGGAGATACGCACAGAAGATCCAGACAAGATGCGGCAACTGGTTCAACGCGCCATTAGGTTCGAAGAGCGCGTGCCGTTGCCAGGAACGCAGTCTGCGCAGCTCGTGATTCAGGGTACGGAGGCGCTCACGGCGATCGACGTCAACACTGGCTCGTGCAAAAAGAGCATCGCCGAAATCAACGTCATCGCTGCACGCACTGCGGCGCTGGAAATTCGTCGCCGAAATATATCGGGCATCATCGTGATTGACTTTGTGAACGTCCATCCGAGACAGCGCGATCAAGTGTACAGACAGATTGAGGCGGAGTTCGCACACGCCGCAGTGCGCGATCGAGGAAAAATTTCGTTCACGCCGATATCGCCCTTCGGATTGCTCCAGATCACCAGATCTCACATCCCGCACGGGTCAAAGGGTGAGCAGTCAGCGCGCAAAACGCCAGCGGCCACGCGTTGGCTCGGTGCTAGGCGCAAGACCAGGTAAACTTATTACGACTTATTACGTATCATGCACGCATTTTTAGCGAGACTTGTTGTATTTATGAATCAAAACGATAAACAGTTCACTGTTCGCAAGCGAGTATCATTTCTACGACGGATAATGGCGTAAGCGCGCTCGCGTTGAGCATGAGTTCCCGACCACACTTGAGCGCTTTGCGTTCGCACTGCGCTCGGATTTCGGCGTCTGGAATCTTGTCCAGATCCGCAACGTGAGCGATGCCTATGATGCGACGGATCATCTTTGCGCCGGCAAATCCAAGACTATCTACCCACACTTTCTGCATGAACGACCGTTGATACGATTGAAGCGCTTCGGGGACTTCCTTCCCGAACATTATTTGGGGTGACAATCCCCCGCAGTCGCATCTCACGCCTTGCTCGTTCCATTGCTCCAGGAACCGCCTCTCAAAGACGCTCCAAGTCTCTGTGAACGTCTCCAAAAGCCAATCGCGTTGTTTACTACGGTCCTCGCCGTTGCACTTCGCCCAACCGCTCTGAGAGTAGAAGGCGAGCAGTAAGTTTGCCAGGAACGCGCCGATGTCAAATCCCATCGGTCCGTAAAAGGCAAACTCGTGGTCAATCGCGAACGTAGTGGTTTCGGTGCACATGAGAGATCCCGTGTGCAAATCTCCGTGCAATAGAGCCTGCGCATTGGTCATGAACTTTTCCTTCAGCGAGCAAATAGCTCGCTTGAGAGAAGCGTCGGATTGAATCTCACTGACGATGTCGTCGAGTTGGGGCGACGTCCAGTGATTGTTGTCGGCTTTACCGTACGGTTCCGTGAAGATGACTTGCTCGGTGAGTTCGCACATGTCCTCATTTTGTCCGAACGCTTGTCGAGCGCGACGAAGCTCTGCACCGCCCAAAGCTAAGGCGGACGACTTGTACAGCGTCGTGGCCATGTACTCTCCCACGTGCTCGGCCAGCTTTGGGTACACTTTACCTTCGATGATGCCGCCGCGGAGGATGATGTGCGGTGGCTCGAGGTATCGCATCACGATGGTGGCCATCTTCGTGTCGTACACGTAAACCTCCGGAACGTGTGATGGGCAAAACTTATGCGCTTGAACGAGCGCCTCGGCCTCGTATCGGACGCGCTCTTGAGTGAGCGGCCAACTTTCGCCGACGCATCTAACAAAAGGTAAGCCCTGTTTCACGATGACCTGCTTATCCGCAGAAGCACCGGTGACGATGTAGACGAAATTTATGTTACCGTCCCCGACTTCTTGCGCGGACCAAGAGTTTCGAGTCGACGCACCGCCGAGGACGCTGGCGACGTTGTGCCGCGAAGCGGCGTAATCGAGCACGGTTTCGCAATCGAGTGCGACAAAACCTGGCGGACCAGTCAGCTTTGATGCAGTCATGTCCCCACCCTTGACATTCGCGACGAATTCGCTCACTGGAAAGAATCCTTTCACATTTTTTTCGATGACGCCGCTCTCGGTGATGATGCCCGAGAGGAGCGCGGCGGGAGTGACGTCGAAGGATGGATTCCACACGTCGATGCCCTCCGCCGCCACGCGTTTACCGAGCGAATGTGTCACCTCATCCGCCGGTCTCTCCTCGATGTGAATGTCCGCTCCAGTCGCCGTCTCCGGGTCCAGCGTCGTCACCGGCGCCGCGGTGAACATGGGCACACCGTGATGCTTGGCGTTTACCGCGAGCGAGTAGGTGCCAATTTTGTTCGCAAAGTCCCCGTTTGCGGCGACCCTGTCCGCGCCGACAACGATGGCGTCGACATCCCCTCGCGCCATGAGCGCCGCCGCCATATTATCACAGATGAGCGTGCCCGGAATTTTTTCGTACACGAGCTCGTACGCGGTCAATCTCGATCCTTGATTGTACGGCCGCGTCTCCAGGCAGTACGCCCGCTCGAGCCGACCTCGCTCCCACAGCGCCCGAATCACCCCGAGCGCGGTCCCGTATCCCGCCGTCGCGAGCGACCCGGTGTTACAACACGTCATAACCTTGATCTTCTCCCCATCTTTCGCGCCCACGCTCGCCAACAACGCCTCCGCGCCGCGTCGTCCGATTTCCCGACACGATCGCACATCCTCCTCCAACATCGCCTCGCACGCCTCGATCACCCCATCGATCGTCTCCGTCACATCACACGTCTCCGCCAGCGTCATCGCGACTTTCTGAATCCGCCCCCGCGCCTCTCCCAGGTTCACCGCCGTCGGTCTCGACGTGTACATGTAATCGAACCGTTCCCGCGCGAACGCCGCGACCTCCGCGCTCGCGCGAAACCGCCCGCGCGTGCGCTCCAGCTCCGTCGCCAGCGCCAGCGCCGCCGCGATCGCGATCGCCGGCGCCCCTCGGACGCGCATGTCCTTGATGCATCGCCAACACGCCTCGCACGTCGGGACGTCCACGTACGTCGTCTCGAGCGGCAGACGGAGCTGATCGAGCACTCGTAGGGAGCCGCGGACGTAGGCGATCGCCTCCAGCGTCGCCATTCCCGCGCGCGGGGCGCGGGCGATCGACGCGCGCGGTCGCGGCGGGCGCGCGAGTGCGGGGGCGCTGGCGTGTACGTGAACGTGAAGACGAAACCATGGGCGTGTGCGTCTGTGTGCACACGGTCGAGCGCGCGCTGGCGGACGAGGACGCGACGGCGCGACGGACGCGGGCGGCGATCGCGACGGCGGCGCTCAGGAGTCGATCGAACGCGACGTTCGTGGAGCTCGCCGCGGACGCGCAAACGTTGGTGAAATCGATCGTTACGTACGCTCGAGACGGACGATGGCGACGGGATAAGCGCGTGAGAGCGAGCGCGGAGGCGTGCGCGCGAAGAGCGAGCGCGAAGAGCGAGACGTTCCGGGAGACGCTCGTGCTTGGTGCGTCGAGAGCGGTGACCTCGGGGGCGTTCGGGGACGATGAATGTGAAAGCTTAAGTCGAATGGTGTGCTTGGTGCTGGAGGAGGTGGAGAGAGTGGGGGATGGGAGCGCTGCGACGCGGGCGCTGGAGACGCTCGCGAAGACTCGGGCGAGAGGCGAACGGGCGTTTTCGTCGAAAGCGTTCAGACGGGCGATTGGGGCGAAGGGGTGTGAGAACGCGCTCGGGCGGTACTTTGAACTCGTTAAGTCGAATTCGACTGCGAGTCCGGTGGTGTGCTCGCTGGTGAGCGACGCGTATGCCGTCGCAAGATTGACATCGAGTGACGCGGGATCAACGCGCAAAGAACTGTTAGAGGTGTTTTGCGCGGTCGTTCTTGGTGGCGACGCCAAGGTGGCCAAGGCTGGAATTACGTGCGAGGCGTTTGCGTCGGTACTGAGTGACATTTCCGAGGAAGAGACTCGCGATATCGTGATTCCGAAGATCGTTCGACAGTTGCGTCGAAGCCCGGAAGCCGTTTTACCCTCCGTGCTCGGCTGTTTGAACACTTTGGGCGCGGATCTGAGTGCGGCGTGCGCGGAAATCGGGCCAGTCATCTTACCTTTGGCGAAGCACGCGAATGAAGATCGCCGCTCGATCTCGTTAAAGGTCGTGAACGCGCTTGTGAACAAGTCGTCAGACCCTACGCACTTACGCGAACACGTCTTCAAGCCGTGTGTCGATGAATTTTCTACTGGCAAGGCTCCGAAAGAATGGAACGCCCGCGCTGGACTCTATGGTGTCGTCGAATCGTGCGCTTACGTGAGCGATCGAAAAGTGCGAGAGAGTATGAGTACAGAGGCAATTGATGCGTTAGCCTTGCAGCTCAAGTCCGAAAAGCAACTTGACGCAAAAGCTGTGGGTCTTACCGCGATGACCGCATGGCTGGGTCATGCGATCGAATGCCCAGAGTCACTCGTGATACTAATCAAAGAAATTTCGAAGGATGCGGCAGAGCGTTCCTCAACTTTACAGTGCGTCGCTCGAGCTGTCGGCGCCAATTCTGTGTTGCCACACGGTTTGTCAAGTGTCATAGCCATTTTGACACCGATAGCTATCGCGGGTAGTGCTAAACCTGCTCTTCGGAACGAAGGTTTGAGCGCATTATCCATCATTTTGAGCGTCGCCGCAGTAGACTCTGCGGTAGCGGAGGCATTGAAGTCGAGCAAAGTGTGGGAATCTGTTCCTGCGTACTTTGAACTGGCGACGATGATACGGTTCGATGTGGTTAGTGGGCAGATTCTTTCCGCAACTGCACAGTGCGTGCTTTCCTCTCACGGGTGTCAAGCGACGAAACTTGACTTCGTTGACTCGGCTATTCAGGCGATGGCGCTTATGAGCCTGCATCCGGACCCGAAGACCAGGGCGAAGGCCAGAGAGGCTGTTAGAGGCGCTGTGGCAGTCGGCCAACCAGCCACTAAGATGCTCCGAGGACTACAACACTGGCTCGCTCAAGTGGAGTCTGGAGTCTGGGACGCCGCGAACTGGCAAGACAGTGATGATGGAGTATTTCCGTCGCGCTATGCTGGCGCAACGCTCCTTTCGTACTGTGAGTTTGATGAAGACTCTCGGGAGGTCAGGCTTTCGGATGAACTCATTGGTGAGATGATTCTGCTTGCGCACCATCCCCTAGTCGCCGCCCCAGACGGTAGACGCGCGGGAGCGTGGAACGCACTTTTAGCTAGGCTAGGTGGCACAATCGATGTCACCGAAGGTGCGGCCGTTTGCCGCGTCATTATGGGCGAACGAGGTTTGAGTAGCACATCAACGATGGAGCGCATTGCTGCTCGAAAAGCTGTCGCCGCACTGGGACGACTAGCCACTGATGAAGTCCTAAAGACCATTCTTCCTCACGCGCTGGCTATGTTAGATATTGACGCACATAATGGCGTGAGTGAAAAGGAAATTTTGATTTTCAACACGGCTCCTGGATCACTTTCAACCGACCCTGTTGATAGACCGGCGGCAGCACAGCCGCAACAGCTGAAGAAAGAATCAGGTGTCGTTTCCTTACGACCAAGCCAAGTTGCAGCAGGTGCGAAGGCCTCAACTAAGCCGTCCACCAAGGTCGTCGATCCTAGAGAGGCTGCTCGACGCGTACAGCTTGCGGACGAGGAGAGCATCCGTATGCGAGTGAAGGATGTGGCGAACAAGTTGGTGGATGGTTTGGAGATCTTGACTGCGGTTTTGGAGGGTCTTGGCCACCGTGCGAGAGATCATGTGTGTGACATAGCACACGGTAGTGTGTTCCCGCTTTTGGGATCGAAAATTGTGCCGCAAACAACGGCACTAAAGGCTGTGGAAGCACTCATATACTGCGCCGCCGCGCGAGGTGGTGCTATGGTACTCTCGTTCCCTCAAGAACGTCAAGCGGAAGCTTTGGCAATTCGACTGGGCGCTGTGAGTTTGAACGGCGCGCCCAAGCCGATTGAGATCGGATTGAACGGCAAGCCCGTTCCAATTGACATGCATCGGATTGGGTTTGAGAGGCGCATTTTGAGCGATGCACTCGATTTGGCCCAGGAAGCGCTTGAAGACAACGATCCACATCCTCTCCCGGCACCCGTATTCGGCCTTTTGTTTCCCGTAGTAGCTCACGCGTTACTTCTTCCGGAGGCCCCCAGAGCGTTACGAACCGAGGCACTAGAACTTCTGGCGGCGCACACGGGAGAAGATGAAGACGGGCAGCCAATTTTGCACAGACCTGCGGCGACAGTACGTTTGTTGCTGAACACGCTTGCAAACGCGACGCCTGATTTAGTGAATTTGGCCAAACCCATCCTTTCAGACGTGTCGCGTCATTTGAGGACGGCTGAAGACGTCTTGGCGCTGGTGGACGGTGTTGAAAGTGAGTACCGCGCAGTTAGAGGCGCTTCTCTCTCCGGTTTGACGAGCGCTCCGCTTGATTTCACATCGATGGATGAGGAAGATGCCAGTGTCGCCATTGCAAAGCTATTCATTGCGCGTTTCGACACGGATGAGTCGAACAAGGAGATCGCTGAAGAAGTATGGGTGCTCTGTGGTTTATCTGGGACGACACCGCCAGCTTTAGATATTTTACCGTTTCTTACGCATACGAGTGGCTCCGTGAGAGAGAGCGCGATTGAGGCGTTCGCAACGAGCGTAGAAGCGCAAGAAAATGGCATGTCGACTTCTCTTCCTAAACTTTTTGGCATGTTCAACGCATGTACTAGCGCGCCTGGACGAGAGACTCTCATCAAAGGACTTGGCGCGTGCACGCCGAGTCTGATCGCGCGCGATCTTCCGCTCGTGTCCACTTTTCTCACGAAAGTCCTCTCTGATGAAGATTCTGGCGTGAGAAGTGCGGCGGTGGAAACAGGTCGTACGATGATTGATGCGCACGGCGCAGAACACACTCAACAGTTGCTCGCAGTCTACGAAGCTTACTTCGATAGAGGAGGAAGCAGGGGGACGTTGACAGAAGAGGCTGAGGATCAGGTTCGTCAAGGCGTCGTGGTATTCCTGGGCGCTCTCGCAGTGCACTTGGACAAGGAAGACGAAAAGGTTCGCGCCATCTTGACCCGGCTGCTTGAAGTCTTGAGCACCCCCTCTGAAGCCGTGCAACGATCGGTAGCGGACTGTTTACCGCCATTGATGAAGATGCTGAGTGTAGAAGAGCAAAAGGCTTTGGTCGACGCACTGTTACAGCAACTCACCATGAGCGATGCGTACGCCGATCGTAGAGGCGCCGCATTCGGATTAGCCGGCGCCGTAAAAGGCATCGGGATGATTAGTCTCAAAGGAATGAACATCATGGACGCTTTGAAAGTAGCTATCGAGGATAAGAAGAATCCAGCGTGTAGGGAAGGGGCGGTGATGGCCTTTGAGTTGTTCTGCACACGACTCGGAAGACTCTTTGAACCGTACATTGTTAGTATTTTGCCGATGCTCCTGGTCTGTTTTGGTGACGTTACGGCGCCAGTTCGTGAGGCAACGCAAGCTGCGGCGAGAGCCATCATGGCGAATCTGTCCGCACAAGGTGTCAAACTCGTCTTGCCGGCGCTTCTTTGCGGCGTGGATGATGACAAGTGGCGCACAAAGCAAGGCTCGGTGCAACTTCTCGGCGCCATGTCGAGTTGCGCTCCGAAACAGCTGGGCGCTTGTCTTCCGCAAATCGTCCCTCGGCTGAGCAAAGCGCTCATCGACACACACCCGAAAGTCGTCGATGCCGCGGCAGATGCCCTGAAAGCCGTTGGAGACGTTATCCGCAACCCCGAGATCATCGCACTGAGTAACTACTTACTCAACGCCATTCAAGATCCTACCAAGAAGACGAGACCGTGCTTGGATGTGTTACTCGAAACTACCTTCGTGAATGTTGTCGATGCGCCATCTCTTGCACTCATTCTCCCAGTGTTGATTCGCGGTCTGCGTGAGCCGAAAGCGGATATGAAGAAGAAGGCGGCAAAGATTGCTGGAAACTTGAGTTCTCTCGTGGAGGATCCAAAGGACATGACCCCTTACATTCCAATGCTCGTGCCTGAGCTAAAGAAGGCTCTCGTCGATCCGATTCCTGAAGTTCGAGGCATTGCCGCACAAGCACTCGCGGGTTTGATGAAGGGATTAGGCGAAGAGTACTTCGATGATTTACTTCCTTGGATGATGAGTGCGATGCAAAGCGATGGTTCAAGCGTGGAACGTGCTGGCGCTGCCCAAGGTTTATCTGAGTGTTTAGCCGTTTTGAGTGACGAACATTTCGATGCTCTGTTCCCGGAGATTCTTGCAGGTTGCTCTCACGCATCTATGGCGGTACGAGAGGGTCACTTGACTTTGCTCAAGTTCTTACCTATTTCGCTTGGCCAACTCTTCGAGGCACATCTGGTCGATGCGTTGGCGTGCGTTCTGGAGGGTTTGGCTGATGAAGATGAACCGGTGCGCGATGCCGCTTTGAACGCCGGTAGAGTTTTCGTGGAGGAGTTTTCACACAGCGGTAGTTCGTTGGATCTCATCTTGCCTGCCATCGAAGATGGCATCATTGCGAGCAACTGGCGCATAAGAAATGCCTCTGTGGAGCTTCTCGGCTCGATGTTGTTCCGTATCATCGGATCTAGTGGAAAAGTGCGCGCCGAGGGTGGTGACGATGCCGATGGTGTTTCCACCGAAGCACAGGGCCAGATGCTGAGTGCGACTCTCGGTCAAGGGCGTCACCATAGCTTACTGGCCGCCGTGTACATTCTTCGATCAGACGGTACTCTTGTGGTCAGAAATGCCGCAGTTCACATCTGGAAGACTGTCGTTGCTAACACACCAAAGACTCTTAGATCCATCGTACCACTGCTCATGCAACGCGTGATATCGCTGCTTGCAAGTAGCACGGATGAGCATAAGCAAATGGCGAGCCGATGCCTCGGCGACGTGGTGCGAAAATTGGGCGAGCGCGTCCTTCTGTCTGTTTTGCCCATCATTCAGGACGGGTTGAAAAGCGAAATCCCTGAGCATCGTGAAGGCGTCGCCTTGGGGTTGGCCGAAGTATTGCTTTCCTCCACGGATAGCCAACTTGAGGAGCATTACGATGTGATCATTCCAATCGTCAGGGATGCGCTGTGCGACGAAGACGAAACCGTACGAGAAGCTGCGGGCTTGGCGTTTGATAAGCTGTTTGCGCACGGAGGTGGACAAGCCGCGGGCCAAATCGTGCCAGCGCTTTTGGATCAGCTCAACAGCAGTCAACTTGCTCTTGAAGGCCTGAAGCAAGTTTTGAAGGCACAACCAAACATTCTCGCAAACGTGCTTCCGAGCTTGGCTCGTCCTCCTTTGACGACGTCTACCGCTCACACTCTTGGCGCTCTGGCCGAGGTCGCCGGTACCGCACTCCCACCGCACCTTCCTCTATTGGTACCTCCACTTCTCGAAGCAATGGCTGAGGACGACGAGGAAAGTCGCGCTGCCGCGAATGCCGCGGCTTTGTCTGTCATTAAATCCGTTCCAGAAAATTCGTCGCACTTGCTCTTAGCAGAGATCAAGCGCAGTATGACACACGATCACGCCGGTTGTCGCGCGGCGGCGGCAAAGCTATCCGGCGAGTACGCGAAAAATGCGCCTGGATATGACGAGGGTTCGGAAACAGAAGCACTCATAAAAAAGTTGTTTGAGATGTTCAACGACTCGGACGAAGTCGTGCTCGTCGCAGCTTGGACAGCATTGGGAGACGTCACTGGAACTATACACAAGGCAGAGTTACCTGATTACGTTGAGTGTGTGTCCAGGTGCCTGACCCTCGCCCGCGACAAAGCGCGCCGGGCGCACAAGTCGTCGCACGAGTGTCTCATTCCGGCGTTGTGTCTACCGAAGGGTCTCGCACCAATCGTTCAAATTTTCCTGCAAGGCATTCTTACAGCTGGAAGCGCCGACGCTCGAGAAACGGCGACAAAAACTCTCTCCTTGGCCGTCTCGAGCACGACGCCAGAAGCTTTAAAAGCTCACATCATCGCTATTACTGGTCCCCTCATTCGTGTGGTTGGTGACAAGCATCCTAGCTCTGTGAAGAGCGCTATTGTCGAGTCTCTCGGAGTTCTCATCCGAAAGGGAGGCGTTGCTTTGAAACCTTTCGTGCCGCAGCTACAAACCACTTTTGTGAAGTGCCTCACCGACGTAAATATGAACGTTAGAATGAAGGCGGCTAGCGCGATCGGACTACTCATGATGTTCCAAAGCCGCGTGGATGCGCTCGTGAACGATTTGATCAGCACGGTTGAGTCTGATGCAACTGAACCGAGCATCCGTGAATCGACCTTCAAAGCCATTGCAGGGGTGTTTGCGTACGGTGGAAAGAATATTACCGCACCTAACGTCACCCGAGCTATCGAGGTGGCCTTAAGTGCTCTTAGCTCTGCGTCTTCCGGGGAGCGAGCTTGCGCGGCACTCGCGCTCTCCCGAGCATTCGCGTGGAGCTCCATTGAGGAGAGGACCGAGACACTTGAAAAGCTCTCGAGTGAAGATAGTACGGTCGAGCATCGTGAAGCTGCGGCGAACGCGTTGTGTCATCTTTCGCGAGCAAACGGGAACTTGATCATTGAAAATCACGCTTCCGTCACACTCAATGCGCTCGTGCGCGCGGCGAGTGATGATCGTGCGCCGAGCCGAGCCTCTGCTGCCCGAGGTTTGGGATCGCTCATCGCGACGACGGCATCTTTGGGGAAAGCGTCGCAGTATCTCGGCAAGCTCATGCCCGTATTGAGCAAACTCCTTCGAGACGCGGTCATTGAGGTTCGATTCGCCGGGGTCCGGGCGATTCGTGTCATTTTACACGCAGCTGGTTCTTCAGAGGTATCAAAGCATTTTGAGGCATTCATGAGTGTCCTCGCAGAGGTCGCGGTAGCAGACAAATCGTCAGACGTACGTCACCAGGCTGAACGCGCGGTGTTCAGAGCGTTCAACTTACAAAATGGTATGGATGAGGCCTTGCAGCACTTGCGAGCGGGTGGTAGCGCCAACGGCGCGCGTGGACGCCTCTCCGATATAGTGCTCCGGCAGCTCGCGGCGCTACCAGATAACTCAGACGACGACGCAGATACACCGGTCGAGTTGGACTTACAATCGTAGGAAATTAGTACTAGACCCATTGATATTACCACTCGCAAAATTAATCGCTATCGCTATCGTACAGTTGAAGACTGATTTGGACGTCCTTCAAAGTCTTCTTGGCTGACACGGACGAAGCATCGAGCTCGAGCGCCTTGGTCAACATCTCCTTCGCTCTTCGCAGTGGTTTGGCGTCTTCCGTCGCGTCACCGAGTGCTAATAATGCTTTGCCCATTCGAACGTACCCTCGCGTGTACCCATCATCTAGCGCTATCGCGGCCTCGCACGCTGATACGGTGAGCTGGAGCGCTTCAATCTTCTCCGGCGAACCGTCGCGCAACTCCGAAGCGTACAGCAGTGCGGCAGCTGCGACATTCCCCTGATACGCAACCTTTCCGGGTTCCTTCTCTATCGCCGCACAGTAGCACGACAGCGCCTCGTCGTAGCGTTTCTTCACGTAAAAATCCATCCCCTCGTCGTTCAGCTCCTCCGCCGACGCGTCCGGGCGCCCGGCGCGTTCCGGAATCAAAGGTCGTCTCCATCCGAGAGATTTCTTCACCCGCTCGTCGCCGTCGTACCCGACTCCGCCGACGCGCTCCCACGGTCGATCATCACTCCCCCCCGCCATCTTTCCAGCCGCCCACGCGATTTCCATCTCCCGCGCCTCGTCCGCCCCTCGACCATCTCCCAGCGCACGCGTTCGCGAGTACGCCGCCACTCCACTAAAATCCGCCTCCGGTCGCTCCCCAGCCTCCCACGGCACGTGCACATCGATCCCAAATCTCTCATTCGGCCTATACTCTCCGCGTCTTCGTAACATCGCCTCGATCTCGAACGGACACCCCCCCCCCAGCGCTCTCGCGAGGACGTCCTCCAAGCTCTGCAACGGCGGTATCGCGTACGTCGCTCGCCATCGTTTCTCATCAAAATTCACCCGCGTCAGCGCGTGATACGCGCACGTCACGCTCGTAAACTTCTTCGTCGCCGCCACCGCCTCGTTCGCCGGGCGTTTATCCGGATGCCACTCCAGGCACAGCGCTCTGTACCTCGCTCGAATCATCTTTTCATCCACGACGCCCGCGTCCTCGTCCCCCAGGCCGAGCTCGCGAAGCGCGCGCGCGCGCGTCATCGTCCCATCGTCATCGTCGTTCGTCGTCGCCATCGTCGCCGCGCGCGAGGACGCGACGGACGCGCGCCGAGGTGTGAAAACGCTCGCGTCGTTCGAGCGTTACGACGCATCGACGGCACACCGCGCGCGTCCGTCGCGTCGTCGCCGTCGCCGCCGCGCGCGATGGACGCGGCGGCCACGGGCGCACGGTCGATGGGCGCGCGCGCGGTGTGCGCGCGCGTCGGGGCGAGAGACGCGCGCGCGATCGTCGGGAACGGTCGACGCGCGGTGACGACGCGACGGACGCGCGGTGGGGACGACCGACGCGCGGGCGCGGTGACGCGGGCGCGGAGCGCCGAACGGAAGGGGCTGGAGGCGATCGCGGACGCGGCGACGTTCGATGCGGTGACGGGGACGGAACGAATGGTGGTGGTGGATTTCATGGCGTCTTGGTGCCGGAAATGCGTCTTCTTGAGGGGGAAGTTGGAGAAGGCGGCGGCGACGCGGACGGACGTGAAGATGTTCACCGTGGACGTGAACGCGGTGTCGCAGGAGCTGGTGCGGGGGTGCGGGGTGACGCAGATGCCGACGCTGCAGATTTGGCGCGACGGCGAGAAAATTTGGGAGATCGTGGCGGGCGAAGACGGAGACTCTGTCATTCAAAAGTTGTTTGATGAGATCCAGCGTGTTCAGGACGCGCAGGCGAAGACGTGATGGGCGCGTCGCGACGCAATGGATGGGGTTGGGCGACTCGCGTCGATCGTAATACCAATAGCGTCGGATGGAACGCCTCGCGGGCGACAAAGCAATTTTGTAACAAAAGAAGGCGCGCTTGCATGCAATCATCACTCTAAAATAATATCATCAACTCTTCTAGAAACCACACTTACATCGCGGTATGTGGGAGATGTGTCGCTCGAGCACGCGTTCGGCTCGACGACGGACGCACGACCAAGCGCCCTCCACGCGCGCGCCCGCCATCCCGTCGACGTCTTCATACGACTCCTCGTAGCCACTCACCACGGCGAGACGCAAGAAAATTTGCGGTTTGCCGAACTTTGTGACTTTATCTCGCGATTCAAACGGCACGAGCAAACACTCACCCTCGCCCGAGGCATTGACGGCGCGAAGAAGGTCGATATTCATAGTGTTGAAATCGACGCCGTGTGACTCTTCCAATTCCGCCACCGTGAACCCGTTCGACGCCGCACCCGTGAGACGGAAGGTGATCAGAGCGTTCGCGTCATCAACATTTTCGATCTCGAATCTCAAATCTTCGGCCATGCTCCGCGATATCCGCCTCTTCAACTCTGGAAGCACTCGCAACGCAGCAGCGGGCAAAGGCTGCTCGAGTGTCGCGACGTCTCGTGTTACCGCAACCTCATCCAAGTCCTCGCCGATTATCACCAGACACGTGCTCGTCGCACTAACGAGTTCGCCGACGCTCGGCTCGAGTTCGATACGACACTTGCCAGAGAAGTGGAAATCGTAACTGCCGCCGCGAGAACCGTCCTCCGCGAGAGTGAGCACCCCCTTGGAGCGCATCGTAGATTTGGGCATCATCTTCGTCGCCCAATGCTCGAAACGCGCAAACACGAGAGATCCCGACGTTTCAAATGCAACGGAGTTGCACGAGCTACGTTTACCGCCGGAGTAGTGCGTCGTACGCTTCGCTGGATCCAGCGACAGCGGACCAGTGGATCGGACGACGACAGAACCGTCGTCCAATTTCGGCTTTCTCAATCGCCCACCCGTGGTTGAGAGTACATACGGCAGCAGTCCTGATCCCCAATCGTGCCCACTCTTCCCTTCCGGTTGCGGGACGACATCGACGTCTAAGAAACTCGGTAATGGCACGTCCGCGTTTACGCACTCTAAAACGCGCGCGCCTGGCGCTTTGACCTCTATCACGCTCCTCGCTCTGGCCAACTTATCCGCGTCTCCATGCAGCAAATCAACCTTATTCAACAGAACGACATCCGCACATGCTAGTTGCGCATTCCATACGTCGCGTTCGCTATCTGGCCCGCCGTCAGCGGCAATCTCTGCATCAACGACGCACACCACGCTGTCCAATCGAGCGCGCGTGAGCGGCCCGAAACTCCGATCCAATCTCGCCGCGATCTCCGTCGGATCCACCAAACCACTTGTCTCGATCAACGCGTAATCAAACCCATCGCCGTCGCCGTAGTTTAGCAGCTCCACCACGCTCGCCTCTAAATCGTCCCGCAAAGCGCAGCACGCGCAACCGTTCGTGAGCTCCGTCACTCGCGCCTCGCTCTTCCTCGAACCATCCTCGCTCTCTCCTCCCGTTGCCGTCCTTCGAACCAACCTCGCGTCCACATTCACGCTCGCGAAATCGTTCACGCACGCCGCGACGCGCAGTCCACCTCGATTCTCCAGCGCCCGTCGCGCGAGCGTCGTCTTCCCGGCGCCGAGAAACCCGCTCACGACGCACGTCGGCAGCGTCCGCGTCTTCGCGCTCGCGTACGCCGTCCTGAGCTCGTAGTTGCGAAACATGTTGATCGACTCGCTCCTGGACGTCGAGACGCCGTCCGCGGCGCCGCCGTCGCGACCTGAACCGTCGTTTTGCGTCGACGCCATGCTTCCACCTCGCGATCGCTCGCTCTCGCCTCTCGCGCGGCTCCCGCGCGCGCGCTCGAGCGCCCGTGACGTCGACGCGCTCGACGCACGTGTCACGTTCGCACGCCCGCGCGCGCCGAGGCGCATGCGCGCTCGCGCCGCGCACTGCGTCGCCGCACACGATGACGCACGCGAACCGTTGGAACGTTCTCGACGCCGACGTCGACTCGCACGTCGCCGTCGCCTCGTCGAGGTCGATCGTCGACGCGAGTGATGACGAGAACGATCGTCGACGCGCCCTTCGCAGGCTCGCCGTGGCCGTCGCGCGCGCTGGGAGCTTTGGATGCGTCGTGCGCGGTGGTCTATCTCTCGGGAAGATCGCGCTCCGGGCGAGCCGTGGCGGGCGTCGACGACGCGGGAACGACGCACGAGCCGTCATGTTGGAGGTGTTGTCCTACGGGCTGTTCACGGCGGCGTTCGCGGGGACGTACGTGAGCGTGGACGAGGGATTGAAGACGGAACGGGAGCGCGGCGGGGGACGGTTGCGAAAGACGTGGCGGTGCGCGCTCGCGGGCGCGTGCGCGGGAACGTCGCTGCTCGTCGTGGGTGGGGAACACTATGCCCTGGCGGGATACGTCTGGGTGCGGTCGTTGGTGCTGCTCACGCGCGTGGCGCAGAAGAGCGAGAACAAGACGGCTCGGCGGTTGTCGAGGTGCACGCGCTGGGAACACGGAGACGTGGCGCTGATGACAGGGAGCGCAGCGGTGATCCTGTCGTGCTTCATATTGAAGCCCGAGCTCGTGGAGCCGGCGTATAGACACTTTTTGGAGGTTCACGCGGGGAAGACGATTGAGGAGTACGCGGCGCTGAAGGAGCTGTGCTTGGCTGACGGAGACGCTGCGCGGAGAGCGCTGTGCTCAAAACTTGCTACATCCGCTACGTGGTCGACGGGCGAAAGTGCGAGAGAGGTTGCAAATAAGACTATGGCGAAGAGCGTGGCCGACGGGTCCGGGACGATTGATGCGATGGGGCTGTATCGGTTGTTGTTTTTTCAGGGCGCTTCGAATCCGGAGCACTTTTTCACGCACATTGCCAAATCGTTCACAACGACGTTGAGAGTTTACATGCCCGTATATCTCGTTCCAGCGCTGGTTGTTCATAGAGGTAAGCTTTTCTCGCGCAGGAGGGGACCGGATCTCCTGATGCGCATAGCCAAGGGTTCGGCGCGCTCGGCTCTGTTCTTGTCATCGTACGTCGGTGCCGCGTGGAGCGGCGTTGATGTGGCAAATCGAGCTCTCGGTGGCACGTGCGACGTGCGCTCGCTCTCAGTGGGTGTTTCTATGGCTGGTTTGGCAACGTTTATCGAGAAGAAATCACGTCGAATGGAGTTGGCGATGTACTGTGTGTCGCGCGCGCTCGAGTGCGCAGCGATGGTCGCGGTGCAGCGAGGGCTTGTCCCAAAGTTTGTTCAGCGCCAACGCTGCGATATCGTTCTCTTCTCGCTTGCGTCGGCAACCATTATGCACTGCTATAGCACTGAGCGCGACGTCTTCAAGAGTAAGTATCTCAACGTCCTCGACTATATTTTTGGCTGCACAGGCCACGATTCGCAGACAATTTCTCACGTGGCGAGTTACGAGATTTTGTTCGCCAGCGAGCGCAAATCTGGACCACCCGGCGAGACAGTGGTCGATCCACCGACACCCAGAGAAATGGTAGACTTAGGGGCGCGCACGACGTACGTCACCGAGAAGGACTTCCGCGAGGCGAGCGCAAAGATGAGCGAGTCCCTCGTCGGAGCGTCGGTGGAGGAAATCCTCAACCTGTATGGATTGTATAAGCAAGCTGTCGCCGGCGACGCGCGCGATCACCCGAGACCGAGCGTGTTTGACCCCAAGGGGCGCGCAAAGTACGCCGCGTGGGAGCACTTCGAGGGAACCACCTCAGAGGCCGCCATGACAGGCTACGTCACGCTGGTGAACTCGCTGACACGCAAAGATGGTACCACAAAATCATGATCGATAATACGATCATATGAGAAGGATTGTCATCGCAACTCGAAAATGATGCAAGTATATTTTATGTGTTTCTGTAAACCTTGAACGTATTTGGAAGCTGAGGAACTCCGAAGAACTCCTCGTGTCCACACTTTTCAAGCGTACACGCCGCGCGGCGGTTGTGAAAATCGATCGCACTGTTCGACGCATCGATAGATGTTCGTCTCCGCTCGCGCGCGCGTGAGCGCTTCCACGCGTCCGTACGCGTCGTCCAAGCTTCGTTCAGGATCTGCGCGCACCATACGCGCTACCCAACGACCGCAAACTTCGACGTCGCTCAAGATATCATCGTTCGAGCTTTCGCTCGCGCTCGCATCCTCCATCGCCGTGACCGTCGGTCCTGCGCTCGCGGAGACGGTGGAGAGCGTGCCGCTGACGAAACAGCCGGCGTTTATCGGGTTCGCGTGCGTAGCGGTGTGCTGGGGAATCCCGCAGACGCTGGGGACGATGGTGCTGGCGAAGAAGGAGGCGCGCGCGCGGGAGCTGTTGGCAGAGGCTGGTATCGACGCGAGCGACATCGAACAAGGATCGTGGGGACGGATTCAGACACTGTGTCAAGATAATGGCGTCGATTGGAGACAAAAATGAGCGCCGCGATTCAACTTGAGCTGTACAAATGACGGAATGTTTATTACACTCGGCGAGCGCGAGTGGTTACTCGTACTCTCCGACATCAATTTAATAACTAATAATCAAGATATGTGCCGGTGCGAAAAAATTATCTGAAAGGATGCGTGTAGATTTATCGCGGCATCGGAGAGTACGCGGTCTCGCCGTGAGAATACACGTCGAGGCCCATCTCTTCCGCTTCAGCCGGGACGCGGATGCCGTTCGTGATAATGTCCGTCGCCTTGAGGCATGCCCAAGAGGCGCCAGCGGTGTACACTGCAGTAGCAACGGCGGCGAACATTTGCACGGCGGTTTGCTTCATCATCGGAACGTCGTTGAATCCGCCGAAGAACGGGTGGCAGAGGATACCGAGCATGACGGTGCCCAAAAAGCCGCCGATACCGTGAACTCCGAAGACATCAAGGGCATCATCATAGCCGAAGTACTCCTTGACATTGGTGGAGAAGAATCGGCACACGATAGCAGAGGCAAGACCCATCAAGCAAGCACCGACAGGGCCGATGAAACCGGCGGCCGGGGTGATGGCCGCAAGACCGGCAATGGACGCCGTGCACGTACCGAGGACGGACACCTTGCCGTTCTCAATCACGTCGAGAGCCGTCCAAGCGATGGCGGCAACGGACGCAGAGAGCTGCGTCGCGAGGCAAGCGAAAGCGGCACCGGCAGACGCCGCACCGGCGGAACCACCGTTGAAACCGAACCAGCCCACCCACAACATGGCGGTACCGAGGAATGTGAGCACCAAGTTGCCTTGATGGATCTTCGCCTCCTTGCGCGGTCCAAGGTACATGGCGGCAACGAGCGCACCGATACCGGCGGTAATGTGTACGACAATGCCACCGGCGAAGTCAAGGACGCCCATGTCCGCGAAATATCCGCCGGCGCCGCCCCAAACCATATGGCACGCCGGGAAGTAAACGGCGAACATCCAAAGCGTGGAGAACCACATCACAGAGTTAAACTTCATGCGCTCAACGAGCGAGCCGATCATGAGTGCCGGCGTGATAATCGCAAACGTCATTTGATACAAAACCCAGAGCGCTTCCGGGATCGTACCCGCGACGGAGGACATGGATACCCCGGCGAGCGCCACTTTGTCTAGACCGCCGATGAAGGACGCCAAACCAACAACGCCCTCCTTCATCCCGACCGTGCTGAAGGACAGGGAATATCCACACAGGAACCACAGCGCAGACATGTGCGCAGTGAGTGCGAAGCACTGAATCAGAACGCTGAGCGTGTTCGTGCGTCGCACCAGACCGGCGTAGAACGCCGCGAGACCCGGAATGGTCATGAAGAGCACCAATGCGCTGGAAATCAAAATCCAGCACGTGTCCGCGGCGACGATCGCCGGCACCGCGGCCGCCGCCGCGCTCGCCGGTCCACCGAGCGTCACCGCGGCCAATCCGAGCGCGCCCGCCGCGAGCGGCGCTCGCAGCTTACTCGCCGTCGACCTTTCCTCCACCGCAGTCGACATCGCGACCGGTCTCGGTCGCGCCAACGTCGGCGACCGATCCCACGACGGCGACGCGTCGACGCTCGACGCGCGCGCGCGTCTGGGCGAAGGAATTGTTTTGTCCCTCGACCCCGCGCGCGCCCACGCGCGCGCCCCCCGCGCGCCGTCCGACGCGCGCGCCCACCGTCGGCCTCGCGGTCGACCCCCCTCCAAGCGCCATCGTCGCTCGCACGGTGAACATATCGACGATCGTCCCTCGACGCGCGCTCGGCGTCGACGTAAATTAAATCCCCTCGCCCGTCTCGACGTCCGCGCGCGCGTGCGTCGATCGCGTCGCCGTCGACGCGTCGGTGATTGACGAACCGTCACCCCGCGCGCGTCCACGCGTCGTCGAAGCGTCGCGCGCGGTCGACACGCCATCGGTCCGATCGCGCACACGCCTCGATCTTTGATAGCCTTCACGCGACGCTTCGTACGCGTCGCACCACCGCGCGTCGGGCGCTCGATCGGCACGCGCGTGGACCTGGGTTGGGTAAAATTGGCATCACGATCTCCCTCACGACCCGAAACTTCGTGATCTGCATCAGCATCACGACCCATGGATCGTGATGCGACCTTGGAGGAAATTTCAAGCTTGCGGCGACGCTCTTCGAGGGGGTGCTAGGGTTAGAACAGTGACACAATTTACTTATCATCGCTATATTTCCTCGAAACCGGTACCGACATAGCGTATTATCAGTCACGTGATGCCTATCAGTGATGTATACCCGTCAATATCAGCAAATGATAGGCTTTACATACACTCAATATAGCATCATGATCTGAATCATCGATTTCGTGATGGGCGTCAGCATCACGACTCATAGATCGTGATGCGACCAACCTAGGCGTGGACGGCACCGCGATGGGGGTTTCGTCGCCACGATACGTGGTCGCGGTCGGTCGACACGTGTATCGCGCGCGCGCGCCCCGAGGGACGGGAAAAAAGACGGCATCGACGACCGGGTGTTTCCACCGTCTGAACATTTTTCACTGAAAATGCATGACGCGCGCGACGCGGCGCGTCCGCACGTCGTCGCGCGCCCATGTCGCGCGTCGTCGCCCCGGGCGACGTCCTTCGCGACCGCGGCGTCGCGCTCGAGGGCGCGCGCGTGGACGCGCTCGGACGCGTGCGCGCGACGACGTGCGGACGCGCGGTCGAACGCGACGACGGGGTCGGGGTCGAGCGCGCGCGCGGCCCGCTCGTGGTCCCGCGCGTGGGCGACGACGTCCACGGACGGGTGCTCCGGGTGCTCGAACGCGCGGCGCACGTGGACATCGCCGCGATTAATGGTCGAGCGCCCGTGGGTGGGGGGTTCGCGGGGACGATTCGGAGACAAGACGTGCGGGCGCACGCGGTGGATTCGGTGGAACTCGATCGGTGTTTTCGGGCTGGGGACGTCGTGCGGGCGAAAGTGTTGTCGTTGGGCGATGCGCGGTCGTTTTATCTCACCACGGCGAGCGATGAGTTGGGAGTGGTGCGAGCGACGCATCGGGAATCGGGGGAGACGATGCTACCGGTGTCGTGGACCGAGGTGCAGTGTCCGATCACCGGCGAGGTGGAGGACAGGAAAGTGGCGCGAGTGGACGAGTGACGGACGTCTTGGCGACGCGTGAATGTAATTTTACAATATATTTACATGGTATACAGCGGCTAGCGAACGTAAGACGCCACCGAAGGGCTTCCTCGCGGGAGACTAACGACGTTCGGCGAGCGCGTTGCGCTCTCTGGATCCAAAGTCGCATCGGCGCTCGCCTCCTCCAGGTAATCGGCGAACTCAGAAAATGCGTAATCCGGCTCGGATGTCATCATATCCTCGTAATCGTCGTCGTCTTCGTCTATGAGACTCTCGCCCAGCCCGTCCTGATCGTCCCCGAGCGTGCGTTTCACCCATCTAACGACTGGGTTGGTGTCGCTCAGCCGACGCCAAGACGCCTCCTCGTCGTCGCGATGCGTCAATCTCTGCACCCGCACGATAGCCTCACGCGCACGTTTAGCGACATTCGTCTTCGCGTAGGAAGCGAAATCTTCCAACTCCTCCCGAATCGTCGTCCGCGGGGCGTCTTCGTCTCCGGCTCCGTCCCGCCCTTCCGTCGCGTCCTCGTCGTGCCACATCGCGAGATAAATCGCCCCCCCCACCACCACCGCCGTGAGTACGGCGAACACCAAGAGCGCCAACGCGTCCATCTTCCTCTCCGGATCGCTCGGCGGCGGCGCTGGCGGCGGCGGGGGTCGCGGCGACGGCGGCGGCGGCCTCGGCGCTCTCGGCGGCCTCGGCGGCCTCGGCGCGGGCGGCGGCCTCGGCGGCCTCGGCGGGCTCGGCGGGCTCGGCCTCGGCGGCGCCACCGGATACGGCGGGTACGGCGGGTACGGCGGGTACCCGTCGTCTCCCCCGCGCGCGAGAGAGAGACCGTCACCATCGACGAACGAAACATCTAATCCAATCGAGCCTCCGCTGAACCCCGTCGTCTCCGCGCGCGCACCGACCGCGAGCGACGCCGCGACGACGATCAGCGTCGCCGCGACGACGCGCGCGCGCCTTCGTCGCGCGCGCGCCATCGCGACGCGTGCGCGCGCGACGATGAGTGGCCTTCGTCGCCCGCACACGCGCGCGCGCGACGAAGTACGGCGCGCATGGCGACCAAGGAGGCGTTCGACGCCGCCGCGGAGGCGATCAAGGCCGTGCGCGAGGTGCGAGCGATGCGACGGCGCGCGACGAGGGGCGACGGCGTGGGAGGAGGAGAAGACGAACGGCGAACGCTGGATCGAAGGTTGGATCGAACGACGACGACGACGACGACGACGACGACGACGACGACGACGACGACGACGACGACGACGACGACGACGATACATCAAGCGCGGATGACTGACGAACGCCTCGAACGATGCTTTCGATGCGACGCAGACGAGCCAAGAGGAGATGCTCGAGCTGTACGCGCTCTTCAAGCAAGCGAACGTCGGCGACGTGAACACGACCCGACCGGGTATGCTCGACTTCAAGGGTAAGGCGAAGTGGGACGCGTGGAAGACCAAGGAGGGGATGTCGAAAGAGGACGCGATGACGAAGTACGTCGCGCTCGTGGGCGAGCTCAAGGCGAAGTACGGGAAGTAGACGAACCGCCTCGGGCGTCGACGCGGGCGAGCGTCTCGAGCGGTCGAGCGCGATCGACGCGCGCGACGGCGCGCGCGACGCGATCGTATCGATTGTTCGCAACGATTCGCGCGTCTCTCCACCCTCGCGTATCATTTTAATTCATTCCGCGTTCGCTCGCGCCGCGTTCGCTCGCGCCGCGCGCGACGCCGGCCGCACATCGTCGCGCGCGTCCGCGCTCGACGCTCGCGCGCATCTGCGCTTCCGAGGCATCACTATCCATAGCCTGCACCGCGCGTCGCGCCGCGCGAGCGCGTCGCAGCACGAGCGCGTCGTCGTCAACGCTTCGTTCCGTGACGACGAACGTTCAAACGAACGACGAAATTCCGCTTGTTATTCGCGGTCGTCGACGCGCGTGCGCGCCGAGCGAGGACGCGGACGGGCGAAAGGCGTGATATGTCGCACGAACGAAGCGCGAGCGGGGATAAGGTGCGATTTGCGACGCGAGAAACGACGCGAGAAACGACGCGAGAGCGACGAATTTCAAAGTGTTTCAAGGTCTAGAGCGAAAGAGACTGACCGAGGGTCGACGATGATAGATGATAGAGGCGGGTGAGAAGCTCGAGCGAGCGTACTCGCCGAGCCTGCGAAGCGGAGAGCACGCCGAGGTGGGATGTCGAGACTCGATGGAGGACGCGGTGGTGTTGGACGATAACGTACGGGTGAAGGGCGCGGAGGACGTGGTGGCGTTCTACGGCGTCTTTGATGGACACGGCGGGCGAGCCATGGCGGAGTTTTTGCGTGATAATCTCATGAAGAATGTGGTTGAGAATGATCATTTCATCTCGAATCCTGAATTGGCGCTGAAGGAGGCGTTTTATCGGACCGATGAAGACTTTTACGCCACGGCGGGACCTAGTGACACAAGCGGAAGCACGGGGCTAGCGGCGTGCGTCATCGGTGGGAAGTTGTACATCGCCAACGCCGGCGATTGTCGTGCGGTGTTGAGTCGTAAGGGGAAGGCTATCGATCTCTCCATCGATCAGAAACCTAGCTCGCAGAGCGAAATGGAGAGGATTAAAAGCGCAGGCGGTTTCGTCGAGGACGGGTACGTGAACGGACTGCTTGGCGTCTCGAGAGCGTTCGGAGACTGGCACATTGAAGGTCTCAAGGGTCGTGGAGGCAAGCCGGGTCCCTTGACGGTCGATCCTGAGATCGAGAAGACTCGATTGACGGAGGAGGACGAGTTTTTAATCCTCGCTTGTGACGGCTTGTGGGATGTTTTTAGCTCACAAAATGCCGTTGACATGGCGCGAGCAAGCCTTCGTCAGCACAACGATCCAACAAGCACGGCGAGAGAGCTCGCGTCCGAAGCACTACGAAGGCATAGTTCCGACAACGTGTCCGTCGTCATCGTGTGCTTGACTCCAGAGCCACCAAAGAAGGAAACGTTCATACGAACGTCACCGAGCTTGCTACGTTCCCTCTCCATCGACGCCATATCTCAGGTGTCGAGAGCAATGGCCGAAGATGCCAACGCACCGCCTGTACCGCAGGCATTCGCACCAAAAAGAGTGCACTCGCTGAGAGACTTGAGTCACGTTCGAAGCTGCTCGGGAGATTCAGATGACTCGCTAGCTGCCGAGATAGCTTCGCAACCAAGCGCCGAACAGGTGTCGCAAGTCTTAGAAAGCATCGCAGCTATTAACGTACAGAACAATGTGCAGACCGGAGCTCTGGGGTTGGAGCGGATGAATAGCTCGTCTGTCGGTCTCGAACCAATGAGCGAACTGGACACGCTTGATGAGGAAGAGGCGACGTAAAACCTGTGTAATACTGTTTATTTCGTACAATACAATCAAACTCCTACGTTCGCGTACTCCATGGCGACGTCACACGCCTCGAAGTATATTTGACCAAGGCGTGCCACCACCGGGGCGGATTCAGCGCCCTCTTTCAAGAGACTAGCTCGCAAATTGATTACACTATCGATGAAACGACCTGGGCGCAAATCCGTCGCATCGAACCCTCCCGCACTCTGCTTTGAGCGCGGTGTGAATCCACGCGACGTAGCCTTGAGCTTGATCTTACCGTCAGCAGCGCTTTTGAACTCCTGGTCGTGTTCTTTTCTCGTCTCGTCCAACATCTGAGCGAGCCTCGCGCGTCGCTGAGCCACAGTGTTCACAACGACCAACTCCTTGATGAGCGCGGATTCTGTCTTTGGGAGCTCGGAGGGCGCGAACGATCCCGAGACGACAATCTCGCTGTATACTCCAGTCTCATCGGCAAGCTTTGAGAGCTGTCTGGCCGTCTCGCGGACGACGATAACTTGATACAGGAGATCCCAATTCGGAACCGGCACTTGGAGCTCGAGTTCGTCGACGAGTTGCGCCGCGGCGCGCTCAATATTTTCCACGCTCACCCCAGGCACGTCGATGTCCCCCAGAACGCGACCTCCGCCCTGATGTGCGGTGCGAATCACCTCGAACCGCTCCTCGTTGCTCTTCAGCCTCGCCACGAGCTGCACCACCTGCATCTCATCCGTCAGCGCATCCGTCACCGTCGCCAGCGCCTCCTCCTTGATGGCATTCAGCAGTGACACCAGCTGCATGTCCCCACTCGACTCGCTCGCCTGCACGTACGCTCCCAGAGCTGCCAAGAACGAACCGTCCAACTCCTCTAGGTGCGACCGCACCACGCCTCGGAGCACCGCGCGCTTGTCCACCTCCGCCGCCTCCCTCGCCTCGCTCGCGCTCGCCTCGTTAAACACCTCCGTCGCCGCCTCCTCGACGAATATCCCCTCCACCGTCTCACGAATGATCGCATCGAGCAGCGCGCTCGCGGCGTCGACGCGTTTCGCCGTGTCGTCGTCGCTCGATTCGCTCGACGTCGTCGCTCGCACCACCGCCGTCGCGCCCGCGCGTCTTTTTCGAGCGACGCGCGCGCGCGCGATCGATCGCACCATCCACGGCGTCGTCGTCGCCATCCCGTCGCCGTCTCCCGCGCGCGCCGCGCCGACCCCGAGGTCGCGACGCGGCGTCACGGAAATCCCGCGTCGACGGGGTATGTGTGATGTTTTGATCGTCGTTTCGCACGTTTTATATGCGACCCCACGCCCGTGAACACCCGCGACCGGGCGATCCCCCCGCGCGCGCGCCAGAGCGACGCGCGCGCGTGGGCACGCCGCGCGCGGTCGTTGACGACCGTCGGCGTCGTCGTCTCGACGCGCGGCGCGCGGACGCCGCGGCGTTCGCTCGTCCGCGCGCGCGTCGAGACGGGCGATCGTCCACGGCGCGGACGCGAAGGAAGCGAAGGGAAGGGAGGCGTCGTGCGAACGCGCCGGCGCGCTCGGCGACGCGCGGTGACGCGCGTCGAGCGGCGGGTCGTAAAGTAGGCATTTTTACCGTCTCGTGCGCGGTCGTCGACCGACCGCGTCGACGTCGCGAGCGAGCGCGGAGGCGAGAGAGGGCGTTTCGGGCTCCCGGGTGCCCAGTCGGGGTGGTTGGTGTTCCCAGGTCGCGCGGTTGGTTGGTGTTCCCAGCGAGCGCGGAGCCTTAGTAGAGAGGGTGTTAGAGAAGAGAGAGGGGGTGGGTGAATTGAAAGGATTGTTGGACAACTGAGAGAGATGGAGGATCTGGCGCCGATAACGGCCATGGCGGCGAAGAACGTTCCGGCGCGCGTCGCTCTGGGGTTCGACGTCAAGGAAGACTCGTCACCCACGGCGGTGGTTCCGGTCTCGTCACTGTTGCGGGATGGATCGGGATCGAGCACGGAGAGTGGCGATGGGGTGGAGAGTCTCTTGAACGCCGATGAGTTAACGGTACCGAACAGAGACATTCGAATCATGCTGAAGAGTGGGTCATCCAAGCCGATGGAAGTATTGCGTTCGCACGCGGTGACTTCGCTGACGCTGGCGATGAAGCCGGAGTGGGTGTCGAAGCACCGTCACGTGTTTGCGCGATCAAGCCGGTTGTTACTCGGAGATCAAGCGCTCCCGGAGAATTTGAGCCGGGACGAAGTGTACAACAAGTTGGACAATCCGCATGAGTACAGTGAGGTGGTGATGAAGCTTGCAGATCTGCAATATATTCGCGTCAAGGCCGTGGTGAACATCAACGAAGCGGGTGACATCGACGAGCGCGAGTACTGGTTGCCTCTGAACAAATCGCAAACCATCGGAGAGATCAAGCGACTCGTCGCCACGGCTGATGATTTGGAGTCGAGCAAGGACAAGCTTCTTGACAACGTCGATATTTCGACGGGTATGAGCATGGTCTTGCGCGGTAAAGAGTTGTCTAATGAATCGACGATGGAAAGCGAAGGCTTGGAGCACAACGCGCTGGTCCACCTATTTGTCAAGAAGGGTTCCGACGTGAACGTGTCCATGCGCGGCTCAAGCAGTTTGGAGATTCATGTGAACGTAAACAAGACCGCGGATAGTCTGCGCGACCAGCTTCACATGATCAAGCCTGGTTCGGTAGATAGCGCGCAGTACACGCACGTTCGAAGTGGGAGCGTTTCCATCTTCCCGGGTCGCAGCAGCTTGCGAAGCGGGCCGCTCAGCTCGTACGGATTCTGCGAAGGAGGATCTCTCGAACTGCGTCCGTATCAGCCGCGAGTCTCACCTCGTACTTCGCCACTTACAAATTCGATGGCAATTCCATTATCATCTTCAGCGGCGGCGTACGGCGCACATTCGTTCGGCGGGCGCATGACGTCTTCATGGGGCGTGCGGGCCGCAACAAATTCGTACCGGGCCGGCAGCGCCTCGGATAACTCCACGTCTCCTCCGAGCGCGCCAATCACGCCGATAGGTAGCCCTGGTACGCTCTCTGCATCCTTTGACATGGCGAGAGAAGGATTGCTCATGGGCAAAGCTCCACAGCTTTCGCAAGGAGGCAACGGTGGTGCTTACTTTCTGAAGGGCGCAGACGGAAGAACGGCGGCCGTTTTCAAACCAGCCGACGAAGAGCCATACGCACCGAACAACCCAAGAGGACATCGAAGCAGCCACAACGGCGAGGGCATGCGTAAGGGCACGCGGGTTGGAGAGGGAGCCACACGCGAAGTGGCCGCGTACTTACTCGATCACGGTGGCTTCGCTGGAGTTCCCGCGACGTCGCTCGTCAACTTGACGGACGGCACCGAAGAGGACGAAGGCAAACTTGGGTCGCTTCAAGAATATGTTGAGAACACCGCGGAAGCTGAAGAGTACGGACCAAGCATGTTTCCAACGGAAGATGTGCACAAAATCACTGTGCTTGACATTCGCCTGGCGAACACTGACCGAAACGCCGGCAACATTCTCTGCCGAAGTGATGAAGAGGGCAACATCGTGCGCTTGATTCCGATTGACCACGGTTATGCTTTGCCTCACACTCTGGAAGACGTCTGTTTCGAGTGGGAGTTCTGGCCTCAAGCTTCAGTGGCTTATAGCGACGAGATCAAGGAATACATCGCTGCTCTCGATGCAGACGCCGACATCGAATACTTGCGTGAGAACGACATCGAGCTCCAGGCATCATCCGAGCGAGTCCTTCGTGTTTGTACTTTACTTTTGAAGGAATCGGTGAAGAGAAACTTCACCGCGGCGAACATCGCCGCCATGCTCAGTCGGACCATGCCAAACAGAAAATCAGACGTAGAAAAAATCGCCGCCCAGGCGGCGTCGACGGCCATTGCGGAGGGTCGCTCCGAACGCGGCCTCCTGGTGCACAAATCACCGGAGAACGGTTCGTTCTGGAACGATTTGGCGGGTGACGAGGTCGCGGAATCGCGTTTCATGAACCAGTTTGCCAAGCTCCTCGATGACTACCTCGAAAACTTTGAGCCCGAGGACAAGTGATTGCCTCGCCCTCTGTACCATTAAATCACCGAACTATCGAGCGCTGCTGACCGCCAGCGCGCGTGATAGTCCGCATACAACCAGTTTGTTCATCAGTTGTAAAAACAATGTCTGTTGCAAACTCACAGATTATTCCCTTCTCCGCCCACCAGGGCTTTTTCTCATCTTGTCCCTCAGTTTGTGCCTCATCTCGAGAGTCTCGTTCGCTCGCGATGCCCACGTCTTCCGCCTCCGCGTTTGAGGACATGTTCGCCTGCTCTCCCGCATCGCTCGTCAAGCTCCGTGCCCACGAGCGAGCGGAGACGAGCGACGCGTCGCCGAGGAGAGAGCTCGCGTTCAGCGATCGCGAGCTCGACGCGCGCTACGGCGCTCGTTCGTCTCCGGAAGTCGTGTCAGCGTTCGCGGATATGTTTGCATGTTCGCCGTCGTCACTGAAGAAGATGCGCCAAACGAGCGCGGCAACGGGACGAGGGGCGAACGGAGAGAGACGGAGCGCAGAGGCGGTGGCGACGACGCCGCGGGACGGAGCGGCGAGCAGAGAGAATTTGGCTTCTGCGTTCGGAGATATGTTTCTCGCATCGCCGGCGAGTTTGAAGAAGATGCAGACGGTGTCGTCGGCGGAGGGTGAGAAGGGTGGCGCGTTCAGTTGGAGTCGTCAGCTGGCGTCGCCAGTTCTCAGCGGCGAGGCGCCAAAGGAGGTAGTGAGCTTTTCGGAGATGTTCGCGAGTTCACCTGCGGATTTGGCTAAGATGCGTCGGTCTGACGTCGGGGGGTCTGAACGTGGGTCCAGTGTGGGCGTGCCGAAGGTAACAGCGAACGTGTACGAGCACGCGAGCGCGTTCTCAAGCATGTTTGCCAGTTCGCCGAGTGATTTGGCCAAGATGCGAGGTAAAAGGACATCGTCCATTTCGTACGCTGATGGAGCACACGTGACGGAGAACAGATTTCATGTCGTCGCGCCGGATTTCAAAGCCATGTTCACGAGCTCGCCGAGCGATTTGAAGAATCTTCGAAGTGCGTCTACCTCGAGAAAGTCACTCGGCGTCGAACATGACAGATTTGAAGTTACGTATTTGCTCGTCGCTCCGAGTGAGGCGGCGGCGCGAGAGAAGGTTTTGGAGATTTGTCTCGAGCAAACGGTGGAGTTACCGGCTACTCTGGTCCCTGAAGGCACTTGGATTCGAGAGCACGTCGTCGGTCGATTAGAGTCACTCTCGCATCCGAAGAGTGGACCGCATTCGAAGCGGACCGACGCATGGAACGCTGTCGTCAGCTATCACGCCGATACTACTGGTGGTGAGTTAACGCAACTCGTTAACGTTATTTTTGGCAACACGAGTATGAAGGAGAACGTCATGGTTGTCGATTTCGAGCTTCCGGAGAGTATGTTGCGAGAGTATCCTGGACCTAGATTTGGCGTCGAAGGCATCCGCCGCTTACTACGCGTGCCGGAGGGGCCGTTGGTGATGACCGCGCTGAAACCTATGGGATTGAATAGCCAAGAATTAGCCGAAATTGCGTACGGTTTCGCCAAGGGTGGGATCGACATTATCAAGGACGATCACGGCTTGGCAGACCAACCGTACAGCCCGTATGATGAGCGCATCCGTGTGTGCTCCGAGGCTGTTGCGCGTGCCAACGCCGAGACAGGGAGAAACGTCATTTATGCCCCGTGCATCAATGCCCCGGCGCACTTGATCATCTCTCGCGCGCACGCCGCGCGTCGGGCAGGCGCTGGAGCAGTTTTAATGATTCCTGGCATCACCGGTCTCGACGCCATGCGCGAGCTCGCGGCGGACTCAAGCTTCAACCTACCAATCATCGCGCACCCCGCCTTACTCGGGTGCATGCTCGGAGGCGGAAGCGCAAACAGGATCGCCGGATTTAGTCACGAGGTCTTGCTCGGGCTTTTGCCTCGGCTCGCCGGCGCGGATGCAACAGTGTTCCCATCGTTCGGCGGTCGATTTGGCTTCAGCGTAGAGGAATGCCAAGCCATCAACGCCGGCTGCACGCGACCGATGGGGAATCTTCCCGCAATTCTCCCGTCTCCGGGCGGTGGGATGACGTTGGAGAAGATCGCGCAGATGCGTGAGGTGTACGGTCCCGATTTGCTGCTTTTAATCGGTGGTTCCCTGTACTCGCACAGCGACAACTTGATCGAGGGCGCGCGACACTTCATGAAACTCGCCGGTCGAAAAGAGCTCTACGGCCCGTTCGAGCGTCCGCACGACGGTCATCGCGATCATCGCACGTGATTGTTTGCGAGTTATACGTAATATTAAACTCAGACCAACCCCAAGCGCCTACGACTCGCCATCACTGCCACGTATCCTCGCTCACGATTCCCTTCTTCTTCGCGTACCCGATCGCCGGCGACACCAGCGTCGCGAGCATGTGCACCCCCAACAGGGGTTGAAACAAAAACGGCCACAAGAACAACCACGTCCCCAAGAACGGCTCGTCGTACGAGAGCCCGTTCCCTTGACTCAGGCGCACGCCGACGCCGCACACCAGCCACGCCAGGATGAACAAAATCACAAAGAAATCATACAACAGAAACGTGTCGATCGCCTCCTTGACCTGATCCATCGCCCCCGGTTCTCCCGCGCTCGACGACGGTTCGTCTCCCATCGTTTCGCTCCTCCGTTTCGCGTACCGCGCGATGTCAGCCTCGAGTTCGGCGTTGACGTCAAACGCCCTTCGACTCGCCAGCTCACCATCGTCGTTCTCCGTCGTCGCTCTCGCGCCCCGAACGCGCGCGCGCGAGACGTCCACGCGCGCCGGGCGGCGACCTCGATCGCCGCGGCGCGTCGACCCGTCTCCGAGCGCCCGCGTGGACGAGCGAGGCGTGGACATCGCGCGCATGATGATTGGATATCTCGAGCGTCCCACTGTGACGCCCCCATCGCGCGTCGCCATCCCCGCGCGCGTCGCCGCGGACCATGTCGCGCGTCTCGGGCGGGCTCGCGATCGCGTCCGTCGTCTCGGGCGACGTCGCGACGACGCGCGTCGCCTCACGGTGGGCGCGCGCGACGAGGATGACCACGCGCGCGCGCGCGTGGACGTCGAGCTCGATCGGGACGCGACGCGCGCGCGCGGTCGATGACGCGTCGAGAGGTGCGAGACGACGCGTCGAAGCGCGAGGGGTGGACCCCGCGCTCGTGGACGCGCTCGGGGTGCGCGTGGAGACGTGGGAGCGGGTGGAGGGTGGATTATTCGGCGCGTCGCTGCTCCCGTACCTGGCGTTTTTGTACTTTTTGGGAAAGCCCGAGTCGAGGTGTCCGGAGGGGGCGCTCTTCGGGTTTAAGTTTCTCCTCGCGTTCGTGTTCGGGACCATTCCGTTCGCGATTTACGCAAAGGTGTCGCGGGATGAGATTTTGGCAAACGTGGACGTCCTACACGGGTGCGCCGAGTCGTTGCTCACGCTGACGAACGTCTTCATCGTGCTCGGCTTTAGGGAAGGATTGCGACGAGCGGGCGGGGGAGGGGGTAAAGGGGGTGGGAGGAAGACGAGTCTCGGAGACGTGGGTGCGGCGCTATTGTGCGTCGTCGTGGCGTCGAGCGTAGCGCTCGGAGCGGCGGATGCAAACGCGGCGAACGAGGCAAACGAGGCGCGCTTGATCGCGACCGCTGCGTGGGACTCCGTTTGGCCGCACGTCGAACCGGCGAACGCGCTAAGCTTACCTACGTGGGTGATTCACGTCTCGAGCCTCGTGGAATGGTTGATAGCGATGGGATTGATTTGGGAATACTCTGAAGTAATCAAGAGACCGGCGTGGAAGGGATTGACGTGGGGCATGGTGCCTTGCCACGCCTCTGGCATCGCCGCGTGCACGTTCCATTTGTTTTACAACGCGCAGCCGGCACTGAGCGGCGTCGTCGCCATGCAAGCGTTCCTGACGGTTGTCGGAAACTCGACGTGCGCGCTCGCGGCGTATCGCATTGCGAAAGAGGGAGAGCGCCTCGTGGCGTCGGGAGAGGCCGCACCCGATGACGCGGGCGACGAGGTCATCGAGATTTCCATCGGGACAGAATCGATGAAGGGATGGGAGGATCTCTCGGCGGCGTGGTCCGCGGACTCTGACGCCGTACTCTTGCTCAAACTCGCATTGGTCTCCGTCGCCGCCTCCACGGCGGTCAAATACGGCTCCCTCCTCGTCGATTTCCCCTTTGAGCCGTCGTTGTGGCTCGCATTCGCCATAATATTTATCCCCACGGGCCTCAACTGCGCTAAATGGAAAGAGCTGAGTGATAAATCCGCAAAGTAGTCCACTGTAATCTGTATACCACACGCGCGCAAAAGTTAGTTGTCCGCGTCCGGGCACTCATCACTCTCTCTCTCGCGCGCGCGCCCGTCGATTCGCCTCGCGCGAGGCGATGGAGCTTCCATCGACGTCTGAACCCGTCGAGCGCGATGGTCCGGTCGTTCGCGCGCTCCGTCGAGCACTCGGCGCTCGGGAGAACTCTGAGGAGGTTCTCGACTTCCTGCGCGCGCTCAGCGTTTCGTCGAGCGTCGCCGGCGAGGACGACCGCAAGACGTTTGGGACGACGACGACGTACGTGAATCACAGAAATCTCGGGGTGAGTATGTGCTTCGAGAACGGGACGCTGGACACGGTGCACGCGTACGGGCGGACGAACAAGGATGGGTACGTCGCGTACGCGGGCGAGCTTCCGGTGGGTGGAGTGACGATGAGGAGCACGGCTCGGGACGTCGTGAAAGCGTTAGGCGAACCGACGAGTAAGGGCGGTGCTGGGCGGATGATTTGGCTGTCTTATGAGCACTTGGGGATAAAATTTGACATTGCAGCAACAAACTGGGACGAGCCCGATGCGGAGCTCGTTTCGGTCGCCATCTGGGATCCCGACGGAGACTAAGACGTGTCTTAGTTGTGTTCGTAAGCGATGGTACCAGTCAAGTACTTGGGGTACAAGGGTGTAGAGTTATATGTAGAATCTATCTATCGACCGCTAGACGGCTGGTGGCTGTGGCTAAGGCGGCTTACTTCTTCCTACGTTTACGTCCTCCCTCTGCTCGCGTGCGCTGAGGCAACTTGTTCCCATCCTTGTCCACCTTAACGTCGTTTTGCTTGCGCTCGCTACGTTCGAGGAGTTTTTGCGCAGGATTTTTTATGTAGATTGGATCCGTCGCCATCTTGAGCTCTGGTTTCAGTTTCTTCCCGTGCCCAGAAGACGACGAAGACGAGGTTGAGGAATCGCTATCGCTATCGCTGTCGTCCTCGGCGCCACCGCCGTCCTCATCGTCATCACCGGAATCATTCATGAAGAAGTCATCATTTTCCTCCTCCCCGGCGCCCGCGTTCGCCGCCATATCCGCGCCACCCTCGTTCTCATCGGCGAGCGCCGCCTCCGCCGCCAGGTTCGCCTTGACAAGCCTTCTCAGGCGCTCTCGCTCCTTCGTCGCGTGTTCCGTATCACCGTCGCTCACCAACACGCTCACGTATTTTTCTCCTCTCGGGAAATGCGTCACGTACTCCAGATCCTCTCGCAACCTCGACAACTCTGCCTCCGCGTCGTCCCCGCCCGCTCCGCCCTCCTTCTCCCGCTCGAGCTGCGCGATCCTCCTCGTGAGCTTCACCCGCTCGAAAAACTTCACCTTGTGATACCGCGTCGACAGTTTCTTCTCTCGCTCCACCCTTTTATTATCCCGCCCTTGTCGTTCGAGCTTCTCTAACTCGCGCTGCTTCTCCTCTCGAAGCTTTTGCGGAACATTCGGTCGAGCGAGCAAGCGCGTTATCGAGCGAATCTGATTCTTCACGCTCGGACGTCTCGCCTGCGCGTGTTTACCCTTATCTCTCGGCACGAACTTACGCTTTGGAGGTGCGCCTGACATTTGAGCGCGGGCTCGGAGGGGGGCGAGGGATCGAGAGTGCGGTGCGAGTCGTTAATGGTGGCCGTGAGGTGGCGGCTGGAGAAGAGTTTTTGTTAACACGCGCACTCAGTCTGCGTCTTACATCGCGTTCTACAATCGTTCTGCTATACATCAATCGTCTAAGCTTGTCTTTCATCGCTCTTTGAATCACTGTTTGTTCAATATCCTTTTTGGTCATCCGAAGAGGGCGCGGCCGGCGAGCATCTGGGACGACCGCGAGGAGCCGCGAGACGCGCGCGGCGAGGCATTCATCTCCATGTGCAGCTTGAACGCCATTTGTTCGTCCGTCAACTCCTCCGGTTCGACAGGTCCCGACGATTCACCGTCGTCGTCGTCTGATTTCATCGCCGGCGTCGTCGAGCGCTGCTTCTTCGGCGTCGTTTGATGGCTGTTAGACGTCTTCTTCTTCTTCTCCTTGGCCAACTGAGTGAGCGACGAAGAGCTCGCGTTACTCTTCTTCCCCTTTGAACTCACCCCACCACCGCCGAAATCGCTGCGAGAATCGTCGTACAACGACGCACTCAACTCTTCGCTCGCAATTTCCAAGGCCTTTCCGAGCATTCTCGGATCTCTCAGAGCTTGCCTGACGTACGCCTCGCCCGCGATCCGCGCCTTCTTCGACCCAAGATCCACCGGCGAGTGCGCGACATCGCGCATGACGCACCCCAGACGCTTCCTCGGTGGTAGCGTGTGCACCTCCGCCGAGGCGTACAACAAATCCATCGTGTGAACGCTCCTAGATCGCCTCGCGTCTCGCTCGAATGATGAGAATTCCCGCCGTCGCCCGACCCGCGTTCGCACTCTCTCGCGCTCGGCGACGCACCACGCCCCAAGACGCTCGGTCAAACGCGTTCACTGGTGCGGTGCACGTATTGCCGCGCGTCACGAGCGTCGGATGCGGTGGACGCGCGCGTCGAAACGCCGCGGTGCGCTCGCTGGCGGCGCGGGCTTCGATCGCATTCGCTCGCGGCGGCGACGTCATAAATACCCGTAAGTTTGCGAACACCAGTTTCGTGGAGTAATAGGATTATGTTTTTCGTACATCGTGATCATATTGTGTGCATCATTAGTCCAACGGTTAGGATATAAGTTTCCCAAACTTGAGATCCGGGTTCGATTCCCGGATGATGCAACATCATGCGGTGCGTACGCACCAGTGCTTTTTGACGTGATTGTTGACATTGTGTACGCATCGCTATCTACTACGGTAGTCCATTACACTCGCATCTACATCGATAGAGAACTTTTGGCGCGCTTCGTCGGTGGACGATACCGGCGCTCGAGCTCCTCCACATTTTTGCACGTCCCGAGCGCGCGCTTCATGGCGGACGTGACGACGTCGCGAAGGGCACGGTCGCAGGGTCGGTGCGCGGCGGCGGCGGCGGTCTGGAGGTAACACACGCCCGTGTCAAAGCTGGAGACACGATGACGTTCGTGCATCGGTCTAACGTGCTGCGCACCGTCGCAAAAGCCGTGAGATTCAGCGTCGACAATGTCGCAGTGTTGTAGGTGCAAACATGATTGGAGGAAGTGCCAAAATTTGCACTCCTTCCACGCGGGCACGACCACGACAAAGGAGAGCGCAGCTCCGCGTTTCTGCGCCTCATCCAAGAGCGCACTCGCCTTCTCCACCGCCGCGAGCATGGTTTCCGGTACGAAAGGTGGATTCATCTCAAACGAGCCGGCTCGCGGTTTGAAACCATGTCCGAAGAAATTTCCAAGACTTCCGAAATATTTGTCCACATCGAAAAACGCGGAACAAAATCGGGCATACCTCGCGTTCAGAGGAGACGCAAAGCATTCACACGAGACGCCCAATCGCTCTTTCAAGACGTCAAACGCGTCCTCTCCGAGCGCAGCCTGATATCCAGCGCCGCCGAGTGACTCACCGTACCTGAGTAACAAAGCAAAGACGCAGTAGGCAAAAACTATGTACTCGCTCGAGTTGACATCTTCCGAGAGCGGCTTTCCTCGGCGGCATGTTCTACAGTACAACGCGCGAAGTTTTCCCAGATGCGTTTTCGTCACCTTCACGTACGGTTTCTTTTGATTCAATTGAAAACTCACGAACGGCCCGGTGTCTCGAATGACCACGCGCGCATCCAATCCAAACGACGGGTCTTCGCTCGCAGCCCGCCATCGAGCCGCCGCCGCCGCTGAGCGCCTAACCGCCTCGTTCGCTCCTCGCGCTGCCGCGTCGGGATCCGCGCCGTGCCTCCGTAAATCTTTCATTAACCCATCCTCCGGATCGCTTCCAGGGAGCAACGGCGCCGCGAGCGCGTCTTCATCGCCGAACGCGCTCGCCAATGCGCACCGCGCGCACCAACGCTCAAACAACAACAACGGTGACCCTTTCGCCCCCTCGATCGTCCCCTTCGTGATCGCGCTCAAGTCGCTTCGCGCGCGCTTCACCCGCGAGTGCAGCTCCAGCTCGAGCGCTGCGCGGCGTTGCGCGGCGGCGACGGTGAGCTCGTCGCCGAGGACGCTCGGGACGTCCACGCCCGAGGTCGACGCGTCGGCGTCTCCGAAGCGAACAGACGGATCCCAGACGCGGAGACGGGGAGCGGCACGCGTCGACGCCGGACGCTTCATCCCCGAGCGCTCGAACGATCCGCGCGTGGGTGTGCGGTTGTGCAGCTCACGCGACACGTCTACGACTAGGCGACTGAAGACTAAACAAGCGTGCAATAATGCTGGAATGTATAACAGGGAGGAATCATAATCCACCGGAGATGATTCTCGGCAGAATCGCAGTAGCGACACCGAGGGCGTAGTAAGCCCAGACTGGGATGTTGTTGACGTCGCGAACAGTGTCACCCTTCGACTTGCCGTCCATCATGGCTTGAAGTTTCTCAGCGTCGTCCGCCAAGGCGAGCTGTGTCTCCACCTTGTTGCTGATTTGATCGATCGTATCTTCGTCTATTTCCATGGTCGTGGCGTATCTTCGCTTGATGCGATCCAAGTCTTCGGCAACCTTGCGAGACTCCTCGAGAACTTTGCGCTCTTCACCATAGAGAGACAAGAAGTCTGCGAGCTTCTTTTCCGTCTCACCCAACTTGATACTCGTGATTTTGAGGTTCTTTTCGCTCGCCGACAATTGGCTTTTGATGCTTTGGATCTCGCTAGACTCTGCCTTCAACGTCGTGAGCTGAACTTGCAAAATTTCTGCGCGCTTCTCGGCACCCGAGACATCTGCCAGCGCTTGGCGAGTCAACTCATCGATCTCGATCTGTTGTCTCTTTTGCATGTCGACCAATTTGGCTTCGAAATCGACAGTCACGCTCGAGATTGCCGCTTGTCTCGCCTTCTTAGCGTTCTCCACAGTTTTTGCGAGTTCAGCTTGAAGCGACGAAATTTCAGCCCTCAGTCGTTCAATCTCCCCACCTTGCTGTTTCTCAAGCTCGGCCAGCCGCGACTGCGCCGCATCCCTGGCGGTCTTGAGCGTCTGAATCTCTTTTTCGACGACCTTTTGATCAACTGCACTCTTCTTCAGTGTGTTGATTTCAGCCTCGAGTTGAGCGAGAAGCTTCTTGGTCGCATCACGCTCGGCATTGGCTTTCACGATCGCTTCCGCTGAGGCCTTAGAGTCAGCGTTCGCCGCTCGCAACTGCTCGTTAGCCTCCTCAAGAGCCTTTTCAAGCTTCGACTTGTCGGACGTCATGGTGGACTCCATTTTCTGAATGATAGACTTCATCTCTGTCTGGTGTTGAGAGACAAGCGTGCTCAGCTCCTTCTCGTGCCCACTCTTGAGCTCTTCTGTGGCGTTCTTGACGAGCTTTTCGTACTCAGCGATTTGAGACTCGAACGCCTGTCGAGCCGCAGCGGATTCTTCCAAGAATAAAGCTTCTAATTTTTTCCTCTGCTCCTCCGCCGTAGCGATCGCGTTCGCTCGGGTCGTTTCAAGAGATTTTCTGTACTCGTCCTCCAGCTTGGCCCGCTGAGTCTCGGCATCTTGAAGGACCTTGGCGAGCGTGTCCTTCTCGGCCTGAAGCTGCGTCTCGAGAGCCTTGATCTTTGCTTCCAGTCCACTGGTAGCCGCGTTCGACGCCTCGTTCACAGCCAGGGTGAGTTTCTCAACTTCTGCCGCGTGTTGCAACTTGATCATCTCCATAGAAGATTCATACGTTGCGTTCGAAGCCGCCTGTGCTTCCTTGAGCTCATCAATCTGCTTCTCAAGGCCTGGTATGATACTCGCTTTCGCCAAAGCATCATCGAGCGCCTTCTCCAACTTGTTGAGATCGTTCTTTTGAAAGTCCGCGAGTTGCTTTTGCAGCGCATCCACTTCGGCTTGGGCTGCGGCCTGCTTTGCCTTCATCGCGCTCTCGGCTTCCTTCTTCGCCTTGTTCACAGACGCAACGTCGCCCTCAAGCTTGGATATCTTCGATATTAACAGAGCATCTGCACTCGAAGAAGCCTCCTTCGCGGCAGCAATCGCGTCGGCGTGCTCGGTCTTTAAATTAACGACATCTGATTCGTACTTGGACTTCGCGTCATTCAGTGACTTCCTGAGTGCGTCGACTTCAGCGTCCGAACGCTTACGCAGCTCTTCAATCTGAGCGGTGTACTTGGCTTTGAGCGCATCGATCTCCGCCTCGTCAACTTTTGAAGAATCTTGGATCAACTTGATTTTCTGAGCGTACTCAGCCTCAATCTGGGATATGCGGAGTTTCAGCGAGTCTCGCTCCTCTGTGATGACCATGACGCCCTCCTTGGCTTGCATGTCAAACAAACTCTTGAGCCTTTCGATCTCATCGTCGAAGTTCTTCTCGAGTTCAAGAATCTTGCCGGCATTTTCCGCTTCCTCGTCGGCGAGCTTCTGTTCCAGAATCTTGATTTCCTTCTGCGCAGCCGCGAGCTTCGCTTTGAGCGCTTCGAGCTCCGAGCTGAACTCGTTTCTGGTTTCGACAGTGACGGCCTTGACCTTGATCTCTGCGGAGGCAATTTCAGCTTGGAGTTTGCTGATGGTCGCCTTATACTCCACTTCCATCGCGGAGTACTTCGCCTCCAGGGCTTCAATCTCTTCCTCCGCGGCGGACGATTGCACCTCAGCGATAGCGGTTTCAAGCGCCCTCGCGGCACGAGCCTTCTCATCAGCAAGTTCGCGGGTAGCCTTCTCCCGCTCAGTGGCGAGCTTATCCTCGAGAGACTTGATCTTCACTTCGTAATCAGCCTCAATCTTCGCGATCTTTGCCTTCATGGCATCATCTTGAGACGATTCGGCATCCTTTAGCTTGGATTGCACTTCAACAATCGCCTTGGAGTGCTCGGCCTTGAGTTTATCAGTCAGCGCCTTGTGGCTTCGCTCCATGTCGTCGATTTTTGTCAACCACTTCTTTTCGGCGTCCGCTTCAGTTTCGGCAAGCGCTTTTTCTAGCGAAATCGCCGCTTGTTGCTTCAAGGTAGCGATCTCTTCATCGAAAGCCTTCGACTTGCTCTTCGCCGCAGCTTCGGCAATTTCAAAAGCATCGAGTTGCAGCTCATAATCAGAGATGATTTTCTGGGCCTTGTAAAACTCCGAGTCGAACAGACCCTTGAGAGCTTGGCGTTCGCCGTGGAACGAGCGCTTCAGGCTCGTCATCTGTCCTTCGTACTCAGATTCCATAGCCGCGCGCGTTGCCTTTTGGGTAAACTCAAGCTGCGCGACGAGCTCCTGCTTGGAGTCTTCCTTCGCGGCCTTCATCTTGCTCTTGAAGTCCTTCTCCATCTTCGCCACCTTGGCGGCGTGAGCAGCAGCGAGACGCTCCATTTTACCTTCCCAGAGCGCGTTGAGCTTTTCTTCAGTCTCAGAGGTATTAATCTTCTTGGAGTTTTCGCTTCG